ATGATCCTCACTGTAAATATTTGTTCCTTCTTTTGAGCTACTGCATCCATAGGTGTAGGTCAAGTTCATCAAATTGTATCAGATTACTCCTTTTTCCCTCTTCTCGTTGAGCTCTGATGATCCAGTCATTGAAGCCAGGTCAAGTGGGTATTATCTGCACGTGTGGGTGTTTTCATGCATACGTCCTCTCTTTTTATCAGCTGGATGCTTCACTCTCCACTCTAGTCCTCTATGTCTATGTCATTGACTCTGGGCCCAAAAGTCCCTAGGTCTTGCCACACTGCTGACCAACCAGGTCTCCACCCGGGTTCAGAGGAGGCTATTGAACGTTGTAGGGCTTAGCTTGCAGCTTCATTGCTGTTTTTCCCTCACTCCCCCTTATCTGTGACAAATGTGGTCACCAATCAGAGCGTGTATTCCCATTAAGTCTTAGTCTTGGAAGGGAGTGTGCCCTGGGGGGACCCTACCACTTGCCTTGATGTTTCCTGGGCAAGAAACTTGCTTGTTCTTGTAGTAACAGTCGGACTGCTGTTATTGTTTTCTATTTTTCCTGTTGGTCTTTCTTTCAAGAAGTATCTGTTTTTCTAGCCACTCCAGGCTGGTCTGCTTGTCCTTTCAAGTGGAAATTTCCCACCTCAGAAGATTCTGGATGCAGTTCAGGATTCCACCTATGGTCTTATGTAACACAGAGGCTCCTCTTGCCTGATTTTTTAAATGACATTTAGCTTTCTTCCATTAAATAGTATTATGTTATTCAGGGGAGTTCAGGCTATTATATATATATAGAATCATAGCAAGTGAGAATAAGAAAGAAAGTTTAAAACGCATTTCTTTTGATTCAGTTCCAACTCATATGATCTTATCGGACACAGGAGAACTGATCCTTAGGTTTTCCAGGGTTGTAAATCATTAAAGGAGCAGACAGAGCCAACTTTCACTGGCAGAGCCATCGGTGGGTTTGGACTACTGACCTTGCAATTAGCAGCTCACCACTTAACCCACTATGCCACCATGGCTCCAGAAACAACCTAAGAAATCATTTTATTTGACACTCTTCTTCATTTTACACTGTGTCTTTGTTGTTGTTAAGTTCTGTTGAGTCAGTTCCAACTCTTAGCAACCCTATCTAGGGTTCCCAATGAGCAACTGGTGGGCTTGAACCACCAACTTTACAGTTGTCCAAATTAGGGATGGCTGAAGTCCTGGTGTAGACTCCTTGTGTGGCTCTGTAGGTTCAGCACTGGACTGCTAACTAACCACAGGTCAGCAGTTCAAATCCACCTGCTGCTCCTTGGAATACTTACACAGGGTAGCTATGAATCGGAATTGACTTGGTGGTACTTAATAACAACAACAAAGTACTGTTGCAGTGCTGTAGGATAAGCACTGGACTGTTAATCACATGATCAGTGGTTCAAACCCATCAGCTGCTACTTGGAAATCTTATATAGGGTCATTTTAACTGACTCTAAGGCACTTACCAACAACAATGACCAAGTATAACAGGGGAAACTGGTTAAGTCAGTGGTAGAATTATCACCTTCCATATGGCCTTCAGTATGGATTATAACTTATTGTGAAGAAAACAAACATTCCTACAACTGTACCAATAAACAATATGATAAGTGGAGAAAAGTTGCCAAGGAGTTCACTTAACTCAGATCCACAATCAATGCTCATGGAAGCAGTAGCCAAGAAATTAAAGGATGTACCGCATTGTGGCCAAATCTATTGCAAAAGACTTCGTAAAAGTGTTCAAGAACAAAGATGCCACTTTGAGTACTGAAGTGCTCTTGACCCAAGCCATGGTTGATTTTCAATCACCTCATAAGCATGTGAAAGCTAGACAATGAATAAAGAAGAACACAGGAGAATCATGCATTTGAATTGTGTTGGTGAAGAACACTGAAAAGTACTATGGACTGCCAGAGCAATCAAATCTGTCTTGGAAAAAGTCCATCACCTTAGAAATGAGCATGGTGAGACTTCTTCTCATGTACGTCAGACATGTTACCAGGAAGAACCAATCCCTGGAAAAGGACATCATGCTTGGTAAAGAAGAGGGTCATAGCAAAAGAGGAAGACCACAATGACATGGATTGACATAATTGTTGAAACAAAGAATTCCAACAGAACAATTGTTAGGCTGGTAGAGGACCAGGCAATGGTTCTTTCTGTAGTTTATTGTTGCTGGAGACTGTCAAGTTGGTTCCAACTCGTATCAACCCTGTGTAGGGTTTTTGTGGAGTTGCTGGTGGACTTGAATATCCAGCCTTGCACTTAGCAGTCCAGGGCTTATCTTACAGTGCCAAACAAATATTCCAACAACAAAATGTTGCTGTTGTTAAGTGCTGTCGAGTCAGTTTTGACTCATAGTAACCCTGTATAGGGTTTCCAAAGAGCAGCTTGTGGGTTTGAACTGCCGACCTTGCAGTTCAAACTGACTTTATGGTCCAGTGCATTACCCTGCAGCACCATACCCTCTGAATTGATTCCTCTCTACGCACCTCATGTGCACACAACCACCTATCTGTCTGGAAATTTGTGTATTGCTATGATGCGAAGTTCATTTCAGCAGAGTAAGACAGAGTGGAAAGAAAGGCCTGATGAGCAACTCCTGAAAACCCTATGGATCACAAAGGTCTGATCCACAACCATTCATGAGTAAGAGGTCTCTATGAGTTGGTTAACTGAATGATTGCTGTTGTTGTTAAGTACCATCGGGTTGGTTCTCATTCATGTCTACCCTGTATAGTGTTTTCAAAAAGCAGTTGGTGGGTTTGAACTGCTGACTTTGCCCTACAACACCACAGTAGTTTTTGAGTACGTGCAATTCATCACTTGAGGTTAGTTAGGAATCACCTTTCCATGTGTGGCAGAAAACTGAACAAAGGAGATCAATCTAACAGATGTTATTCCCTTAGAATACTCTGAGGAATTAACACATGAACATTTATATCCAAGTTTTTAAACGGTGCAGTTTTCACGCTAATCTGCATCCCAAAATATTATTTATCTTTAAAAACACTGCCTTGGTTTAATAATTCCATAGGTAAATATAGTTTGTACAAGTGTTTCCAATTGCCATAATGTACATAATTTGCTGAGTCTTTTTTTTCCCCTTTTCCCTTTATTCTGGGAAATGTCATAATAGGTAGTTGTGCTCATAATAGTCTCTTGTATTTAAAATTTGGTTCCAGGAAATGATTCATATAAGCCAACTATTAGCTCTGTGGTGACATTTTACAGAAATGTCAATGGCACCTCAGATGCACCTGCTTTGTTTGGCTATGAAGGCATTCCTGCCAATGTTCACAATGAATAAGCAGCATTACACATCTGATCATATCTTTGTGTATTTGCTATATCTCCCTACCATCAATTGGAGTCCTGGTGTGGTGCTGTGGGATAATGCACTGGACCACAAGGTCAGCAGTTCAAACTCACCAGCCACTCCTCGGAAAACCAATACAGAGTTGCTGTGAGTTGGAAACAACTTGAAGGCACTTAACAACAACCACCAATTACAACCAGCCTGTCTATCATTGTGTCATACTGTGGTGGCTACAATGATGGAAGTTATGCCACTGGTATTTCAGGTACCAAGAGGGCTACTCGTGATTAACAGGTTTCAGCAGAGCTTCCAGACCAAGAAAAAGATTGGAGAAAAAGGCCTAGTGTTCTACATCTGAACATCAGCCAATAAAACGCCTATAGAACACAAAAGAATATTGACTAGTATAGTGTTGGGACTGAGCCCCCTAGGATGGAAGATACTGCAGCACAGGAGCTGTAGCAATAGATTCAGACACACACCAACAATTGTGAAAATGGTCCAGACCCGGGCAATGCTCCCTTATGGCGTACACAAGGTCACGGAGAGTCATTGCCAAGGTGATGGTAGCTAGCACCACCAATACCATTAATGAAAGAAAGTGTTTTCCAATTATAACTGCCTGTTTAGGTCAAGAAGTATGGTACAGGCACCAACTACGTAAAAATTCAATCCTTTATCTAAGTGTTCCAAACCTAAGGCAAAACGTTACCGAGCAAGGTGCAGAACAGCTTCCACTATATTTGAACCATCTTTGGCACTTGTTTCACAGAATAATGCTTTGTAGTTCTGTAGAAAAACAAAAACGAAAACAAACAAACAATTAAATGAAGACTTTAGTTGGGTTCCCTGGGATTGTTTCTTTTAAGAATTAGTAAGATAAAATTAAAATGTGTTCCTGTTGACCATACTTTTTGTTGCTGCTGCTGCCATTGAGTTGGTTAGGACCCATAGTGACCCTGTATAGGATTTCCAAGGAGTAGCTTATGAGTTTGAACCACTGACCTTGTGGTTCAAACCAATCTTGCAGCCGAGTGCTTATCTTACAGCGCAATGACCATGCAAAGAGTGATTACCAGTTGAGAAATTAGTTTCAGTTTCAATACTTAAAAACGCTTTAATCTTAGTCATTTCAGGAGTAATTCCTAATCAGAGGATTTTTATATGGCATTCAAAACAAAATGAAGTCCTGGTGTGGCATTGTAAGATAACCACGGGACTCTTATCCACAAGGTCGGCAGTTCAAACCCACCAGCCATTCCCTGGAAACCCATACAGGGACACTATGAGCCAAAAATGATTTGACAGCACTTAACAACAACACCAATTACAAAACAAAAAGCTCATGCCTTACAGTCATCTTCAATATGCTACCAGATGTTCTACAGAATAATTTGAGAATTATAAAAATGGCAGCCAAAGGTAACCAAGAATCAAATTGCCATCAAAAAGTATGTATCCTTCAGGACAGCAACGAACACACCTCCACGTTCACACTATTATCAATTTCTATTAGGATCTAGCAAACTTCAATATTGCTAAAACCAACTGACATTTTCTAAACAACCTATCAGTTGCTGTTGAGTCAGCTGTAACGCATGGCATCCCATATGTGTTAGAGTAGAACTGTGCCCCACAGGGTTTTCAATGGCTGATTTTTCAGAAGATTGACAGCCTTTATTCCAAGGTGTCTTTGGTGGACTCGAATCTCTAGCCTTTCAGCAGATATGCATATTCATCATTTGCAACACCCCATAACTCTTTGTTGGTGTTATGTTGTTAAGTACTGTCAAATCAGTACAGATTCATAGTGATGCTGTATAGGGTTTCCAATGGCTGACTTTGAAAATAGCAGGCCAGGGCTTATCCTACAGACATAAGGACTCCATATAGTAAGTAGACAGATGAAGGATAGATGATATATAGATAGAGAGATACAGAGAAAGAGAGAGAGCGAGAGAGAGAACAAAGTAGTCCTTTCATAGAGTTGGCAACAGACAACAATGGCTCCAACAACAAATCAGACTGTTACTGTACTGACTACTTATTTGACTCACGGTACATCAGAATCCACTACAGATAAGACAATTCATAGAATGGTCAGATGGCATTCTGACCCAATGATAACAATGGAAGAATAAAATTGCCCAGGATAGTAAACTGGGCAGTAATAATTTCATCTGCAATATAAATGCTTAATCAAAAATTATTTTAGATTATTTCAGCTAAGCATAAATCTTGGGAGGAAAATGTCTCCTAAATCCCATCCATCCTGGTGAGACACTAAAGCATCTCTTGTCTATTGGCATAGAAACCTTCTGGTAGTAAAGCTTTCTTTTCAAAATAGGACACCCATTCAATTTTCTTTAGTTGGATTCCATGATTATAAAAGAATTCCAGAAATCAGATGAACGTGAGGAGGAGGATGGTAATTTTGACTCCTTTTTGTACTCAACCGAGAAAAATGATTATGTGATCATTTAACCTTCATTTGTTGTTGTTAAGTGCCGTCGAGTCGGTTCCGACCCATAGCGACCCTGTACAGGGTTTCCGAGGGTGTAAATCTTTACGGGAGTAGAAAGCCTCATCTTTCTCCCGCGGAGCGGCTGGTAGTTTCGAACCGCTGACCTTAAGGTTCACAGCCCGATTCGTAACCACTACGCTACCAGAGTTCCTTCATAAGAGGTCTAATTCATCAGATAATTACTTATACTCATGAATTGGGGGGTACGGGGCATTGGGAGTTCTATGCCAGGACATTTTAAGCAAGGGCAGACAACAATGACATATACTGACTCCAAAGCCAGTGAGTTCCTAAGATCGCCTCTAGTTTGGACCCACCCTTACTCTTACCATGGCCAGCTTTTCTCCAAAGTATCCTGTAACACATTTCTGGCCCTCTGCGGTAGCATCGTCACGAAGATCAGCCTTGTTTCCTACCAACATGATAGGAATACTCTCGTGGGTTGCATCCTAGCACCAAAAAAAGAAAAGGAATGCACACACATCAGTCATTGGACTAAAGATAATGATATCAGGAACAACAGCAGTAGCAACTACCATTTTCCAAATGCATGTTGTGCCACATGCTGCAGATAAATATCTTTAACCTCAAAATACCCCATTTACAAAGGAGAACACTGAAATCCAGAGAGGTTAAACTGTTGTATCTGTGCCAGGGTCCAAATCTGGTTCTCCCTGTCCCATAACACCTTTCACTAAACAATATTGCTTCATCAAAGGCACTGGGTTTCATCCTGTTGGGGCATATGAAATATGTATCTTCCAAGTTCTTATTTCCAGAACACAAAGCACTATAATTCAATGTAAATTCAAGGTGCCTGGCCATAGAATTGTATTTGGCTGTGGGATTCACATCGTTTACTGCAATTTTCACTTCAGACAATGGTGATTACAACGTAACTTCATTATCCCAGTTATAAAACACATAAGTAAATCTGAAATTATATCAGGACGAAAAAGGAGTTTAGAAGTTCCACATTCACTGCTATCTAACAAGAAGATCAAAACGGTCAATATTCTTTTCTGATAGAGTATCAATTGCCAGTCATTCATTCAAAGTAATAAATTCTAAGGATGATGCTTCCAAATCTGCATACACAAATCATTTAACCCTTTCCCCAAAATCATGCAAGATGTGAGTGGCAGAGTGGCAGACCTAAATTTGAGACCCTATGTCTCTACCCACTGGCTGTGTCTCTTCACATTTCACATGCCTGCCTCAATTTCCACATTTGTAAAATGAAAGGGTTAATAAAGGCATATCCCGCCTCACTGGGATCTGATTGAAGAAGATAACCTGATTAGCACAGAAAAATACACTTCCAGTTCTGAGAGAAGCAGCAGCCCTAATGGAGACATCGGGAATTACTCTTTTCGGAGTTAAAGGCATCGGTGCTCCATTCTGTGACATTTTATTGAGGACGAAGAAATTGGCCTTAAAAATAATGAAATTATATTTGATTTCCTTTGTTTTCAGACAGTCTGCCTCTTCCCAAACTGAATCCATTGCCACTGAGTTGATTCTGACTTACAGTAACCCTAAAGGACAGTGTAGAACTAACTGGTCAGTAGGGTTTCCAAGACTATCAATCTTTATGAAGCAGACCGTCTCATCTTTCTCCTATGGAGTGACTGGTGGGTTTGAACTGCTGACTTTGTGCTTAACAGTCCAAAGCTTAATCCACTGTGCCTCCAGGGCTCCTTTTTCCTCTGACAGAGGGTATTTGAAAACACACTCAAACGAAACCAGCTGCAGTCAAGGCGAATCCATGTGATTCAGACCAGAACTGTGCTTCTCAGGATTTTGAACAGCTGTGGCCTTTCAGAAGCAGATGTCAGGCTTTTCCTCTAAGGAGCCTCTGGTTGGGCTCAGATGGACAATCTTTCCATTAGCAACAGAGTGCTTAATATTTGCACCACCCGGGGAGTCCTAAAGGAGGGCAACAGGGTAGTAAAAGAAAAAGAGAGAAGCAAAAGAAAGGCTCCATCCACTAACGTGCAATGGAGTTCTCTGGTGCTCTCAGGGTTCGAGGGGACACAATTAGGAAACCACTAATCAAATACACACTTAAGGAAGTCTGAGGGGCCGAATGAATGAAGGCACCTCCTTCAATGGCACTAATCAAACCTGATGCGCATTCACTTTGTTCTCTATAGTTTTGTGGTTTTTTCCCCTATTACAATGATCACTTTCTATTACTCTATATATTTTCTTTATGCCTATTGTTTGTTGTCTCTCTTCCCCTAGTAGATACATGCTCTGTAAGATTTGGCTCTCTGTTTAATTAACGTAAAATATCTAAAATCGATGCTGTTATTGTTGTTAAGTGCTGTCAAGTCAATTCCAACTCATAAGGACCCTGCAAAGGGTTTCTGAAGCTGTACATCTTTACGGGAGCAGAACGTCTCATCTTTCTCCCATGGTGGGCTTGAACCTCTGACTTTATTGTTGGAAGCCCAATGCTTATCATTGTTCTTGCTACGTGCCGTAGCATTGGTTCCAACTCATAGAGACCCTGTCTGGTGGATTTGAACAGCCAACCTTATGGTTAGCAGTCCAGTGCTTATACTACAGCACCACACTAGGACTCTATGGCACAGAGTAGCACATGTATATAACAGGTAGTCAGAAAGTATTTCTAAATGAATAAAAGTTGAGAAGAATCTCTTATCTTAAGTCTCTTCATTCAGCCTTGACCTAAATATTTGACCGATAAGTTTTTCATGACAGGTAAATAAGTGGCAAAGTCTCATCATCTTAGCTTATAAGGAACATTCTGGCTGTACTTCTTCCAACACAGATTTGTTTGTTCTTCTGGAAGTTCATGGTACCTTTAATATTCTTTCTCAACACTATAGCCCAAATGATCAATTCTTCTACATTCTTCTTTATTCACTGTCCAACTTTCACATGCATATGAAGTTATTGAAAATATGATGGCTTGGGTCGGACACACCTTAGTCCTCAAATTGACGTCTTTGTTCTTGAACACTTTAAAGGGGTCTTGTTGAGGAGATGTGCCTAATGCAATACGTCATTTGATTTCTTGACTGCTGCTTTCATTTGTGTTGATGGTGGATCCAAGCAAAATGAAGTCTTTGACAACTTCATTCATTTCCCCATTTATATGGATGTTGTTTACTGGTTCAGTAATGAAGATTTTTGTTTCCTTTGCATTGAGGTGCAACATACCAAAGACTGTGTTGTGGTCTTTAACCTTCATCAGTAAGTATTTTAAGAACTCTTCACTTCCAGCAAGGAAAGTTGTATCATCTGCATGTTGCAGGTTGTTAATGATTGTACTTTAAGGCCTATTGAAAATTACAGATGGGTATACTCACTTGAGGAATCCCGGTGTGGTGCTGTGGGTTAATGTGCTGAATTGCAAAGTTGGTTTTAATCACAAAGTTGGTGTTTCAAGCTCACCAGACACTCCTCAGAAACCCTATACAGGGGCACTATGGTTTGAAACTGGATCGACAGCATTTAACAACAATAACAACATACTCACTTGAAATAGTGTTAGCTACTAGATAATTTTTCAAGAGACAGTACTGAACCATAGCTTGAAATTAACTTTCTGTTGACTAATAACTATTTGAAGCACACTAAATATTGTCAAAATCATTTTCCATTTATAAAACAATCTTCAATATGATGAATATTGTCAAAATAATAGAAAATAACAAGTGTTGGCAAAAAAGTGGAGAAATTACAGCCCTCGTCTATTGCTGGTAAGTATGAAAAATGGTGCAGCTACTATGAAAAAGTCTGGCAGTTCCCCAAAGGGTTGAACATTGAATTACCATATGGCCAAGCAGTTACACTCCAAGGTGTATACCTAAAAGAACTCAAAACAGGGACTTGGACCAGATATGTGTACATCAATTTTCATAGCAACATTATGCACAACAGCCACAAGGTAGAAACAACAAATGTCCACCACAGAATGAATGGATAAGCAAAATGTGCTTTACCTATACAAAAGAATATTATTCACCTACAGAAAAGGTTTCCGATGAGCTTTCAGACGAAGACAGACTAGGAAGAAGGAGCGACGAACTACTTCCGAATATTTAGTCACTGAAAACCATATGAATAGCAGAGAAACACTGTCAGATATAGTGCTGGAAAATGAGCTCCTCAGGTTGGAAGGCACTCAAAATGTGACTGGGGAAGAGCTGCCTCCCTCAAAGTACAGTTGACCGTGATGATGTGAATGGAGTAAAGCCCATGGGAGTAAAGCCCTCAGGACCTTCAGGAAGATGGGCACAACTCAAAATGAAGAGAAACAGCTGTAAACATCCATTAAAAATTGGAACATGGAATGTACAAAGTATGAATCTAGGAAAATTGGAAATTCTCAAAAATGAAATGGAATGCATAAACATCGATATCTTAGGCATTAGTGAGCTGAAATGGACTGGTATTAGCCATTTTGAATCTGACAACCACATGGTTTACTATGCCGGAAATGACAAATTGAAGAGGAAAGGTGTTGCATTCATCAAAAAGAGCACATCCAGATCAGTCATGAAGTACAATGCTGTCTGTGATAGGATAATATCCATGCACCTAGTGGGAAGTTAATACCACTACTATTCAAAGTTATGCACCAACCACTAAAGCCAGTGAGGATGAAATAGAAAAATTCTACCAACTTCTTCAATCTGAAATTGATCAAACATGCAATTAAGATGTATTGATCATTATCAGTGATTGGAATACAAAGGTTGGGAGCAAAGAGGAAGCATCAGTAGTTGGAAAATGTGGTCTTGGTGATAGAAATGATGCTGGAAATCACATGATAGAATTCTGTAAAATCAATGATTTGTTCATTTCAAATACCTTATTTAGACAACATAACAGGCAACTATACACATGGGCCTCACCATGGGGAATACATAGAAATCAAATTGATTACATCTGCGGCAAGAGACAATGGAAAAGCTCCATATCATCAGTCAAAACAAGGCCAGGGGCAGATTGTGTAACAGACCAGCAATTGCTCATATGCAAATTCAAACCGAACCTAAAGAAAATGAAAACAAGTCCATGAGAGCCAAAATATAACCTTGAATATGTCCCAACTGAATTTAGAGATTATCTGAAGAAAAGATTTGATACATTAAACACTAAAGACCAAAGACCAGAAGAGTTGGGGGATGACATCAAGAACATCATACATGAAGAGAGCAAAAAGTCACTAAGAAGACAAGAAAGAAGCAAAAGGTCAAAATGGATGTCAGAAGAGACACTGAAACTTGATCTCCAGCGTAGAGATGCTAAAGCAAATGGAAGAAATGAGGAGGTCCAAGAGCTTAACACAACATTTCAAAGATCAGCTAGAGAAGATAAAGCCAAATATTACCACAAAATGTGCAAAGATCTGGAATCAGAAACCCAAAAAGCAAGAATATGCTCAGCATTTCTCAAGCTGGGGAAACTGAAGAAAAAATTCAAGCATCGACTTTCATTATTGAAAGATTCTCTGGGCAAATTATTGAATGATGCAGAAGGCATCAAAAGAAGATGGAAGGAATACACAGAGTCACTGTACCAAAAGGAAATGGTTGATGTTCAACCATTTCAAGAGGTAGCAAATGATCAAGAGCCAATGATACTGAGGGAAGAAGTGCAAGGTACATTGAATGAATTGGCAAAGAACAAGGCACCAGGAATTGATGGAATAAAAACTGAAATCTCTCAAGAAAGTGAGGCGGCACAGGAGGCACTCACTCATCTATGCCAAGAAATTTGGAAGACAACAATCTGGCCACTGATTGGAAGAGATCCATATTCTTGCCCATTCCAAACTGAGGTGACCCAATGGAATGCAGAAATCATCAGGCAATCTCTTTGATATCCCATGTGAGTAAAGTTTTACTCAAGATAGTACAGAAACAGCTACAATCACACATTGATAAAGAACTTCCAGAGATTCAAGCTGGATTCAGAAGAGGCATCATTGCTGATGGATCTTGGCTGAAAGCAAAGAATATCAGAAAGATGTTTACCTGTGCTTTATTGACTATGCAAAGGCTTTCGATTGTGTGGATCATGACAAGCAATTGACAACATTGCAAAGCAGTATTCCTGAACACTTAATCATGCTCATGAGGAATCTGTACAAGGACCAAGAAGCAGTTGCTCAAGCAGAACATGGGAACACTGAATGGTTTAAAATTAGGAGAGGTGTGCAACAGGTGTATTCTTTCACCATACTTACTCAGCCTGTATGCTGAGAAAATAATCTGAGAAGCTGGATTATATAAAGAAAAATGGGGAATCAGGATTGGAGGAAGACTCTTTAACAACCTGCAATATGAAGATGATACAACCTTGCTTGCTGAAAGTGAAAAGGACTTAAAACATTTACTGATAAAGATCAAAGAACACAGCCTTTGGTATGGATTACACCTCAATGTAAAGAAAACAAAAATCCTCATCACTAGACCAATAAACAACATTCTTATCAAAGGAGAAAAGATTGAAGTTGTCAAGGACTTCATTCTTCTTGGATCAACTATCAACACTCATGGAAGCAGCAGTCAAGTAATCAAATGACGTATTGCATTAGGAAACTCTGCTGCACAAGACCTTTTTAAAGTGTTGAAGAGCAAAGATGTCAGCTTGAAGACTAAGATGCGCCTGACCCAAGCCATGGTAATTTCAATAACCTCATATGTATGCGAAAGCTGGACAGTGAATAAGAAAGACTGTAGGGACAGTGAATAAGAAAGACTGTAGAAGAATTGATGCTTTTGAGTTATGGTGTTGGAGGAGAATATTGGAAGTGCCATGGGCTGCCAAAAGAATCAACAGATCTGTTTTGGAAGAAATGCAGCCAGAGTGCTCCTTGGAGGCCAGGATGGCCAAACTTCATCTCGCATACTTTGGACATATTGTCAGGAGGGACCAGTCACTGGAGAAGGATATCATGTTTGGTAGGGTCAGAGAAAAAGAGGAAAACCCCCAGCAACATGTATTGACAAAGTGGCAGCATCAATGTGCTCAAGCATGGCAACAATAGTGAGGCTGGCCCAGGATAGGGCACTGTTTTTTTTGTGCTCTGCATAAGGTTGCTACGAGTTGGTACTGACTCGATGGCACCTATCAACAACATAGAAAATGCCTCCTGGTATGGTGTTCTAGGATCAGCTCTGGACTGTGAACCACAGGGTCAGCAGTTCAAATCCACCAGATACTCCTCGGAAACCCTATGCAGGATCACTATGAGTTGGAAACGACTCTACAGCAGTTAACAACAACATATAAAAAGAATGACATTCTAATACATGCATTCTAATACATGAATACACTTCGAAAACATGCCAAATGAAATAAGTCATACAGGCGAAGGGCAAATATTTGTGTTTGTGGATTATGTAGAATAGGCAAATGCATAGAGACAGACATTAGAGTAGTGGTACGAGAGACTAGGGAAAGCAGAGATTCGGGAGCTACTATTTAGTGGGTTTCCCTTTGGGGGATGAAAAAGTTCTGGAACTAGATAGTGGTGATGTTACACAATATTGTGAATGTGCTTAATGCCACTGAATTGTCTACTTATAAATGGTAGATTTTATGTAAAAGATATGTATATGTTACCATACTGAAATTTGTTTCCTATGAAAATAAAATATATGAAAGTTCATCAGATGAAAGGCACCATTTCATAACCAAAAAAAGTGCAAATGTTATTGTTATTGTTGTTAGGTACCACCGAGTCAGTACTGACTCATAGAGACCTTATGCACAACAGAAGGAATCATTGCCTGGTGCTGCACCAACCTCACAATCATTGCTACATTTGAGCCCATCGCTGCTGCCATCACTGTGCCAATCCATCTCATTGAGGGTCTTCCTCTCTTTCTTGGACCCTCCACTTCACCAAACATGATATCCTTCTCCAGGGACTGGTCCATCTTGACAGTATGTCCTAAATTTAAATCAGTCAGTGTTCCATTGTTCTGTTTGAATAACTGCCTTTTGGTCTATGTACAGGTTCTTCATGAGAACGAGTACGTGTTTAGGAATATTCATTCTCTGCAATGTTGTGACAAGCCACACAATCAAACACCTTTGAGTAGTCAATAAAGCACAGGTAAATATCTTTCCGGAATTCTCTGCTTTCAGCCAGATCTATTAATGTCAGCAATGATATTCTACATCTTCTTCTGAATCCAGCCCGAACCTCTGACAGTTCCTTATCGATGTAATGTTGCAACAGTTTTGAATTATCTCTAGCAAAATTTTACTAGCATGCAATGTTAATGATATTGTCTGATTATTTCTACATTCCCTTGGATCACCTCTCTTTGGAATGAGCACAAATAGGGATCTCTTTCAATCAGTTAGCCAGGTAGCTATCTTCCAAATTTCTTGGCATAGACAAGTGCGTTCCTCCAGTACTGCATCAATTTGTATTCCATCAATTCCTGGAGCCTGTTCTCTGCCAATACCTTCAATGTACTTTGGACTTCTTCCAGGAGTATCATTGGCCATTCATCATATGCTATCGCTTGAAATTGTTGAACATTGACTACTTCTTTTTGGTACAGTAATTCTGTGTATTCCTTCCATGTTGTTTTGATGCTTTCTGCATTATTCAATATTTTGCCCATACAATCCTTCAATTATTGCACGTCAAGGCTTGAATTTTTTCTTCAGTTCTCTCAGCTTGAGAAATGCTATAATGTATTTTCTTCCCTACCAGTCATAGTGGTAGGTACACTTTTGAATGTCTCCAGATCCCAAATCACAATCAGATGAAGGCTGAGAACATAGCTCCTATCAAATTTGGACCTCAGCACATGTGTACAATCAGGTGGTACTTCACTTTCTATACCCACAGAAGCCCCTATACATATTCAACCAGGTAACTGCATGGCTAGTCCTGCAACTGTGCCATTCCTTGTTTGTGACAGTCCTGATATGGCATCATAGGATAAGCACTGGACTGCTAACCACAAGGTTGGCAGTTCAAGCCTATCAGTTACTCCTTAGAAACCCTAAACAGGGTCACGATAATGCAGAAAGCACATGATGGCACTAATAAAACAATCACTTTCTCACACAACCTGCATTTTTATCTACTTCCTATGGGGTTCTGAATTATCTGTAAGAAAGCTCAGAAGTTTTATCAGAAGCTCCCTTTAGTAGTCTCCATGATTTGTGGAATCTTGCAAAGATACTAAGGAAGACATAAAGACTAAGTGCCATTGGAAACTGCCTCTCAGAGTTGGTATCTTGGGTCAATGGCTTCTAATTAAGTTCACCCAGAAGAGTTGTAACATTTTCAAAGATGGCCTATAATTCTCCTGTGTAATTTTCTGTCTCTCCACTTTGACTCCTTACCTCAATCATGTCCACCCATTCTCGCACGTTGAGAAAGCTTTTCTCACAGGTAACATCGTATAGCAGTAAAACACCATCTGCCCTTCTGAAGTAAGACTTGGCAATACTTCTGAATCTGAAAAAGAGAGGGAGCACAGAATATGTAATGCTTCTAACCTGTCTGTCAGTGTGGGGCTGTCTTGTTTTATCCCTTTTAAGCTCACTTTTTTCTCATCTTCAGAAGAAGTCACAATTGAGAAAAATACAACAGCAACATATTACTACGAAACAGTTCTCTCCAAGGCCTAGCAGGGTCCAAAGGAAGTTAAAAGGATGAGAATCTGGGCTCCTGATTTAGAAAAGTACATGATTTTTGCTTCCAGCTCACAGTTCCAGGAATGTCTAGAAATCCCAAAGCATAACCATGACAGAGTTGAAAGTATAATTTCTAAAATTTCCAACCTTAGCAACAAGGTACTAGAGCCCACATGTAGGACACATAGAAGGATGGAAGGAGATGCATGTTCTCGAAAAATTATTTTGAGAGGGTATGGGAAGTAAGAAGAAATTCCTACATGGCACAAACAGTTAAGCACTTGATTACCAGCCAAAAGATTGTCTTTACGAACCCATCTAGAGGCCCCGGGAAAGGCAGTTCTGATGAACTGCTTCAGAAAGTCATAAACTTAAAAATCCTATGGAATATGAGGTCACCCCGATTCGGAATCAACTTGACAACAACTAGTAATAATAACAAATAAAACGGTAGGTAGAGAGTATTATGGATGGGTTGGAGAAAAATTAATTATGTGTTAAACACCATCTCATGTTAGAAACTCTACATACATCAGAGGTGGGAGTGTTTCAGTGGGGAAAGGAGAAATATCTCAAACATAAGTCCTGACTCTAAAACCAAGCCCAACATTTTACAAGTACTTCTAAACAGGACTATGTTCACAGATATTTTTAATCCCAGGATATGGAAAACAGAAATGCTATGAAGACAGCTATTTCTATCTGTCTGTTCACAGTGGAATCTTAGCATTCTGAATGGGGCCTAATACAGAGGTGGGCACCCAATTCATATTTATGTAACAGTTCAATGGATTCTATTCCCAAAAACTTAGACAAAAGGAAAACCTAGTTTGAATGCTCCCAGTCATTGGCCATGAACACAAAATGAGGTAAACTCATGAGATGTGAGTCCAAAGGGAGCTAACAAGTCTCCTTCTCTGTTGTTCATCATTCTATCACCAAGTGGCTTCTTATACTGTCACTGAATCCAAGTCACCTGAATCCTTGTTAGAAAAGGACACTCACTTCTACCTGAAAAAAATCAGCTCAGTGAAAGCTTAAAAAGTCTTCCTCTCATCATAACTGGGGCACAAATGAGTAGGAAAAGCCTGGGATGTGGAAAATTGCTGTTGTGGTTGTATGCCATCAAGTTGGTTCAGGCTCATAGAGACCCTGTATAGGGTTTTCAAGAGTGGCTGGTGGTTTGAACTGCCCACCCTGAGGTTAGAAGAATATACAAAACATCAAATGTCCTACAAGACTTGTTTATGCAACCCTACTCAGACCACCCAAGACGATGAAAAGCACTTGCCTCTCCTGACCAGCTGTGTCCCAGAGCTGCAGAATGGTCTGCTCTCCATCTACAATGAGAGTTTTCATATGGAAATCAACTCCTGAAAAGGAATACAAGAGAGGAGAACAGAATGTGAACCATCTCATTAGTTTCTACTTCAAACCCACTGTAAAGGAGACAAAAGCTCAGTGGCACAGAGAGGAACAAACACTGCCTTCAAGAAAACTAATTTACAGACTAATTATAAGCCAAACCACATATGTGAACAGAGGCACCATCTGCGAGCTGGCTGACATGGGGACAGATTTAATCTACAAAGGGAACATCTATGTTCTACATGCCCAGCTAACTTGTGTGTGTGTGTGTGTGTGTGTGTGTGAATGTATGTGTACATAGAGGTATATGTAGATGCAGACTATCTGAGTGATGCAAACAGTTCATTTGCTTAGCTGGTACCTGAAAAGTTGGAAGTTCAAGTCCTTCCAGAGGCACTTTGTGAGCAAACTCTAGTGATCAACTTTTTAAAAATCAACCACTGAAAATCCCATGGAGCAAAGGTCTACTTTGATATCCTCAAGGTCACCGTGAGTTGGAACTGACTGGATGTCAACTTGTATAAATGAGAGGGACGTCAAAAAGTTCATGGAAAAATTCCAGTATCTTTCCTATTCCTATTTCTACAGACTTTTTAAATCTCCCTTGTGTCTGTGTTTGTATGTTTACATGTTATGCTCTCTTAGTACTGAACCAAGCGGAAATGAATATTTGCCTGTGTTATCTTGAAGGGTATATCAGAAAACCATACAGTTCCAAAGAAAGAAGCCCATTGTGAAGAGAGTAATCAATCTGTTCCAATATTTCTGGCTATCAAAATAGGAGCTCTTTAGATGAAAAAGAAATGATGATTTGCATATCTTCACCTCATTTCCCTGGTTGTTATGCAAACTGGACACTACAAATCAAGATACTGCTTTCTTCCTTGTTCTGAGAAAGAGTACTCCTTGTAAAGTATTCTGTTGTGAAGCACGGCAAAGAGGAATTTATCTGGCTATGATTTTGACCATAATGACAAACCAGTCACTCTCTCTGTCACTTGATCAGTATCAAATGATGCTTTATCAGCAAGTGTTGCCTCACCTGACCACACTGTGCAAAATTACCTCATCCCAAGTTTCATATTTTTGTTTTTGTGTTTTGTGTGTTTGGTTCTATTGGTTAAGTTTTTGAAAGTTGAAATTTTGTCTACTTTGTTTCTTAGTGTCTACAACAGTACCTGGCTCAAAGGAGTAACTTGGAAAATATTTGCTGAATAAATGAATCTGTCCTTTCAGGCCCTAATCTTGGTTTGGCTGATCTGACTGGTTGAGTGGATACCTCTGCCATTTTAGAATCTGCCTTAATAAACTTGGCCCTTAGCCAAAACAGAGGAGAACATTCTATAGATAAGGCGATATATATGTACACACACACATACACAAAGGAGTTCTTGTAGCGTAGTGGTTATGAATCAGGCTGCCAGCCTCAAGGTCAGCAGTTCGAAACTACCAGCTGTGCTGTGGGAGAAAGATGAGGCTTTCTGCTCCCGTAAAGATTTACAGCCTCAGAAACCCTATACAGGGTTGCTACGGGTCGGAATAGACTCTATGGCACTTAACAAATATATACATGGGGTAGTGGGGGTGGGGGTGGTTGGGGTAGGTTCCAACTCATAGTGACCCTGGATAGGGTTTCCAAGGCTGTAAATCTCTAAGGAACAGAATGCCTCATATTTCTTTTGTGGAGCAGCTGGTGGATTTGAACTGATGACCTTGCTGCCCAATGTATACCCACTATGAAACCTGGGCTTCTTATACACATGGGTATGTATATAGATATAAATAGAGAGAGAGAACAATAGCTCTGTATCTCTATCTAAAAAGACAATGAAACCAAAGCAAACGAAACCAAAGTCATTTTCCCATTACCAAGTGAAATAGACACCGTACCCAGGGTGGCACTTGTATTTCCTCGAAATTCATTCTTGCAAAGTCTCATGAGGAAACTAGATTTCCCCACTGCAGCGTCCCCCGCAAGCACAATCTTGTAAGCCTTCTGTGAGTTAGCTTTATGGTTGTCATCTGCCACATCTGTCTAGGGGGAAAAAACTCACAGTGGGTGATATAGGTAGGGCCAGTTCTCTTCTTAGCAAGTAATATAGCAGAGAAAATTAACAAGACTGGTGACTCAAAAGCTACCTACCTGTGGTGAAAGTGCAGAAATGGGCTTTCTTAAAGAACACACACTGCCTTCACTCACAGACCCCTGGGGCTTCCAGTCTAGGACAGAAGCATACGCCTCTTCATCCCTTATCTCGGGAACCTATTAGAAAACAACAACATATATATCATTATCCATATCTCAAAACCAAAACAACCAAACCCAATGCCATCAAGTTGATTCTGACCCATGGCAACCCACGTATTAGAGCGTAACTGTTTCATAGAGTTTACTTGGCTGTGATCTTTATGGAAGCTCATCACTAGGCAGTTCTTCTGAGGTACCTCTACATAGGTTCAAACCACCCACTTTTAAGTTAGTAATTGAATGCAAACCATTTGCTTCACCTATGTATGTCACAAATGAAAAAGCTGTGAATTCTACAGCTGAATCTACAGTTGTGGAATAGAGTGGCTATTACTATCAATCTATAAGTATTTCTCTTTAATTTGGTTTAGAGAAGAACACTGCTGATTATGTTTCATCTTTAGAGTATTTTAAATGCATTCCCAGGACAGATAAAAATCAGATCAACAAAAAATAAATAAACCAAACCAAACCAACCTGTTGCAGTTAATTCTAAGTCACAGTTAGTGACCCTTTGGGCAAAATAGAACTGATCCAAGGCTGTAATATTTATGGAGTCCTGGTGTGGTGCTATAGGTTAAGCACTGGACTGCTAACCACAAGGTCCGTGGTTCAAATCCACCAGCTCTATACAGGGCAGCTATGAGTCGGAAACGCTATAAGAAGTCACTATGAGCCAGAACTAACTCAATGACACTTAACAGCAACTGTCTTTATGGAAGCAGACTGTCACATTTTTCTCCCATGGAACAGTTGGTAGGTTCAAACCGCTAACCTTTCTAGCAGTCAAGAATTTACCCACTTTGCCACCAGACTTCCTCAAAAGTCAGATAGGGTGGTCGAAGTCACTCAAGATGTGACTCAGAAGAGCAGTGATTTCTGGGGCTTACGTCTGTATCTGAAGCATCCCCTCCATAGTTCTCCTGCACACACTGTGACCTCCGAAAGCCCCTCTGCTGCTTGTACTCCACTTCAGAGTCATACTCGTTGGAATCTCTGAGCGTAGATAAGCCACTGTCGAAGCAGCTCTCGGGCAGGCTGTCCACTTCACAATTCAGCCTCTGCATAGGGTCACAGAGGGCCAGAGAGTCACAGTCCTCATCCACGAAGGAGGAGCGGGACGACCTGGAAACAAGGGAGACCACTTAACCTGATGGGTCACAGGATGAGAAGACACACCAGCGGTGGCATCTAGACCTGCATTCTCACAACGCACTCCACGATGCATCACCAAGCGAAATAAAATGTTCAAAGCATTGTCAGTCACTATATGCAACAATCAATTAAAATAAAGACACTCTTATCAAACATGTAATAAACCACCTTATTTTTAATTATGCTTTTGATTTCCTGATACAGAAAGAATGAAGACATCGAAGCAATCTCAAGTTGCATTAATATGGACATATCATCAGGAGGAGCCAGTCCTTGGAGAAAGACATCATACTTAGGTAAGTGGAGGGTCAGAGAAAAAGAGGAATATCCCCCCAACCAAATGATATACATAGTGGCAGTAGCAAGCCTAACAATGATTGTGAGGGGGGTGCAGTACTCGGCAGTGTTTCATTCTGTTGTGCAAAGGCTTGCTATCAGTCAGAACCAACTCAATGGCACTTACAACAACAACAACATGTGAGGAATGGGGGGAGTGGTGACTCCAGACGGTAAGCACTGGACTGAGAACCACAAGGTCCATGGTTCACGCCTGCCAGATGTTCCGCAGGAGAAAGATGAGGCTTTCTGTTCCCACAAAGATTTAAAGCCTCCGAAGCCCTCTACGGGTCACTATGAGTCAGAAATCACACAACAGCATTTAGCACTTATCAACAACAACAACATGTGAGGAATGGTTTCAAAAGTTTCTCTCTTTCAGAAGAGCTTGAAGAGCTGACACATGAAGAAAAAAGAAAGAATACATTCTCTCAAGTTACACAGGCAAAATAAAGGTTAACTGGCAAAGTTTTCTGGGAGTCAACTTCCTAATGAGCATGCTGAAAAATGGCAGGCACCCAGAAATGCATGGTGCTGGAATAGTCTGATGTGTTACATGAGTGCATGGAAACATAGTCTGTAAAGATTCTTAGAAGGAAATGTTGTCTAGGGAGGTGCCAGACACAGGCAAAGCTAGAACTTCGGACTTCTGTAAATCTTTGCATTTATGAAATGCCTAGATCATACAAATGAGGGAAAAACTAACAACAAACAGGAAAAAAACTGAAAGATTTCCCTCATGATTCACCTTTGTTCTTCCAATCCATTTTCAGTAGACTCCATATTGAAATTCCAACAGTTGTAACTTACTGAGCACCTCCTATGTGTTGAGCCATCCTAGGCACTCTGTATCTATGATCTCATAGGAAAGAGGAACTGGGCAATGTGCACAGTCTCCAGATAGGAGAAGCAATAAGAAATGGATGTGGTTAGACCTAGAAGGATGATCTCAATGTAAATAAGCATACATCATGAAAATCTAAGCAGTCAAAAATGCTTTTGTATCATTGTTGTTGTTGTTTATATTGTTGTTGTACAGTACCATCGAGTTGGTACCAACTCACAGCGACCTTATGCACAACAGAACAAAACACTGCCTGATCCTAGGCCAACTTCACTACTGTTGCCACACTTGAGTCCATTGATGCTGCCACTTGGCCAATCCATCTCGCTGGGGGTCTTCCTCTTTTCTCTGACCCTCCACCTTACCAAACATGATATCCTTCTCCTGTGACTGGTCCCTCCTGACAACATGTCCTAAGCAAGAGAGACAGTTTGGCCATCCTGGCGTCCAAGGAGCACTCTGGCTGCACTTCTTCCAACACAGATCTGTTGGTTCTTTTGGCAGCCCATGGCACTTTCAATATTCTCCTCCAACACCATAACTCAAAAACATCATTCTTCTATGATCTTCCTTATTCACTGTCCAGCTTACGCATGCACATGAGGTTACTGAAAATACCATTGTTTGGGTCAGGTGCACCTTAGTCTTCAAGCTGACATCTTTGCTCTTCAACGCTTCAAAAAGGTCTTGTGCAGCAGATTTGTCATTAGCAAATGTTTAGAACTACTTGCACAAGTGATGTAACCACATATGCCTTTTCCAAATATTTTGCTCAACTATAAAGTCATGACCCTAGGGTGGAAGTTCCATATTATAACTCAGTCTATTAGCTGAGTGTGTTTAAATGTTTTTGCTAGTTTCAACATGAATGATACTCCACTTCTGAATCTGATTTTAGGTCAATCTACAATAAACATAAGAAGACCATTCTCACTACAATATAATCTAAATTACTTAAGCACTGGGCTGTTGATTGCAAGGTAGGCAAGCCAAATACACCAGCTACTTCGAGGAATAAAGATGAAGCTGTTTGCTCCCATAAAGGTTTACAGTCTCACAAACCCTACAGTGCATTTCTACTCTGTTCTATAGGAGTCCCAGTGTGGTGGTATAGGATAAGCACAGGACTGCTAACTATAAGACCGTGGTTCAAGTCCTTGGAACTATGACAGTACTTAACAACAACAACAATGTAATCTAAACTACTTCAACTCCATGTTCTCAGTATTGATTAGAATGTTGTTGTTGTTGTTGTTTTAATCGACATTTTATATATATATATATATATATATATATATATACATATTTTATAAGAAATGAAATTCCTAATTGAGGAACCAATCTTTTCAAAAGTAAACTACTCTTGCATGCCCTGAGATCATTTTCACAGCAATTAAATATGTAAAAGTTATATTTTCTTAGCATTCTAAGAAGAAACACACAAGCAAATATAAATGTATGAGTTAACTTCATATATAATTACAAAAGATAATTTTTTAAAAATCTTTTGCCTGTATTTAGTTTTTAGATTATTATTAAAATGAAAACCAAAGGTTTAAGTTGGTATCTAAATAATGACTGTTCCCAAAAGGATCATCAGCCAGGCTACAGACGTGGACACATTCCCAAATTGACTTTTTTTAACTAGCAATTCTACACATATGTGTGTAGGTTCACACAGCTAGGTACATGTGATCCTTGCATTTTTATGACTGGGTCTTAAATAACAATAGTGTCAACATTTTACTTTATTTGATGAAAAACAGAGCCAAATGCTTATTTTCTGATAAGTTTCAAGCATTGAAAAACAGTAGCTCATAAACATCTATAGTTGTTATTGTTAAGTGCTGTCGAGTTGATTTTAAGTCAGAGCAACTCTGTATAAGGTTTCCGAGGTGCGGCTGATGGATGTGAACCTCCGACCTTGCAGTTCAAACCAACTTTGTGGTCCAGTGCATTATCCTGCAGTGTCACACCAGGACTCCAAACATCTACTGTTGTTGTTAAGTGCCATCAGGTCAGTTCCAACCCATAGCAACCCTATATAGGGTTCCCAAAGAGCAGCTGGTGAGCTTGAAGCGCCAACCTTGTGGTTCAAACCGACACTGCAGTCTAATGTGTTAACCCACAACGCCACATCAGGACTCCAAACATCTACTAGTGATGTTTATATTTATTTTCAGTTTTCTTTCCCTCTAACATAGCTTGCATAGTAATATGCTAAACTGTTAAACACTTACAGATCTCACTGCTGCTGCTGCTGTTATGTGCCGTGGAGTTCATAGCGACCCTGCACAGGGTTTCCGAGGCTGTAAATCTTTACGGGAGCAGAACGTCTCATCTTTCTCCCGAGGAACCACTGGTAGTTTCGAACTGCTGACCTTGAGGTTGGCAGCCCAACTCGTAACCACTACGCTACCAGAGCTCCACACTAGATAGTGTTAATCCTGTGGTATCACAGTAATTACTTAACCAGGCTGTACTACATGCATACTTCTTTTAAAATTCAACACCTGTGATATCACACAGTCCTTAGGTGATACAACCAGTTAAGTGCTCGGTTACTACCTGAAAGGCTGGCAGTTCAAATTCACCCAGAGGCACTTCAGAAGTAAGGCCTGTCAATTTACTTCTACAAGATCATAACCACTGAAAACTCTATAAAGTACAGTTCTACTCTAACATACATGGAGGCACCACGAGCTCACATTGATTTAATGACAACTGGTTTGGTTTTGAGGGGTTTTTTTTTCCTTTTTCGAGGGGAAGGAGTTTCTATTTGGAAGGGGTTGGAGATTGCACTTGTTTCCCTGAAACATCTTACTGAGCCTGTTTCTAAGAAATGATTAGAGATGAGGTAAACCCACTGGAAACCCACTGTTCTCAGAGTTGACACCGACTTATAACAACCGTACAGGACAAAGTTGAACTGTTCCTTAGGGTGACTCTTACAGGAGCAGGCAACCTCATCTTTCTCCCTGGGAGTGGCTAGTGGCTTTGGACTGCCCGTCCTGCATGTTTACCCACTATGCGACCAGGGATCCTGGTAAGCCAGCATAATGTAACCAAGTTATGCAACATCTTAAAGAAATAACTTCGCCCCCTCTGAAACATTTTTTACTTTTGATGTTGAGATCTCATGGTTTGGAATTTTAAAGAGAACAGAGAACAGAATGAAATGGCTGCTCAAACTAGAGAGTATTATTTCACCTCATCTCTAAATTCACTTTCCTTTCATATAGGATCTAGACTTCAAACAAAAAGTATTAGCGTACCTGTCATATTGCAGAGGTTGAGCAGAATGGCCATTAAATTTGGGACTGCTTCTAGAAATTGTATTCCCTGGAGAGGTATTATTTATGCGCTGTAATATATATACATATATAAAAAAAAAAAAAAACCTTGTTATTTCATGTACATTTTTTCCAAATATTGTTTTAACTTCTTCAAATGTAACTTAGGCTTTGGTATCCCACATGAGCAAATGTGAGCATGAAAATCAAGGAAAAAACTGCAATGAGTTAACTGAACAGAAGTATTCTCTCTTCATTTTATCTTAAGTGCAAGCTCTACAGCACATTACATAACGAAACACTCTCATTCCCCAGAACTGCCGGACCCTAGGTTTACAGTTGTCGCTTCTCCCACCCTAATCCAGTGGAGTGAATGGCACTTTCACATTCAGAGCTATGGCACTGGAGTCCATACTTATATCTGATGCCCTAGAAGGTGGGAGAGAAGCTTTAAAGCAAATCTAATGTGAGGAAGTTCCTCAAACTTCCAAATAGGAGTTTAGTTCATTTCTGTAAGAGGGTTTGAAACCCAAGCTCCACTCTGATAATCTAAGATAAAGAGCATTTGATGTGCCAAAACACTTTGCCCTCATGGCATCTGGGACAATAATTTATTTTTGCCTCCATGGGACTTCCCATTTTTTCTTATATTATTGCTCTCTGTGTCCATCTTAATTCCTTTCAACATAATCTCTTCCAGGGCAAAGGTCACATCTTTCTCTAGTATCCTAGAACGTCTACCAGAAGAGTTGGTTAATGTCCAGGCATTTCTTCTACAGAAGGCTAGCAAATTATTTTAATTTGGGGGAAAAAATGTTCCTCCATTTATTATATGGAAATACTTTCTTCTTATTTTAAGGATTAGTATGAAGTTCCCTTCTAAGAAAATACATGATTTCCATCCCTTGTAAAAATACTGATCCACTAGAAAGAATAAAATCTACTGTAAAAGGATATTGCATACCAAAGATCTATTGATCTTGCTATAACTGTTTTCTAAGGCATTTCTCAGGCCATCATTACTGTCATGCAGTTTCCGGTTAGCTGTTCTACAGAATAAATAAAAAAAGTAATCAAATCAGTACATACATACATAAATAAATACGGGTGAATGAGTGTATAATAAAGGTTCAAATCCCAGCTCAGGAACTTACTCTACATGTGACTTACACAAAATCTTATAAAGCAACAAACAACCAGTTATATAAAGTTGATTTGGGCTCATGGTGAGCCCACGTGTGTCAGAGTAAAACTGCACTCTGTAAGAGCTCAGCAGCTAATTTTTTAGAAGCAGGTTGCAGGCTTTTCTTCCGAGGTATCTCTGGCTGAATTTGATCCTCCAATCTTTCAGTTAGCTGCATCAATAACTATTTGAACCTCTGAAAATCAGCTCCCTTCTAGATAGAATAGTAACAGAACCCTTGTCTTGAAAAGCGGCATCTCTTTCCCTCCCTAATGTCTTCTTATCCTCTGTCTCTCAGCGTGATCATCACCTTCCTGACCTTCCTGGATAGGACATGAATCTTTCTTTTGTGTCATTTCTTTCATTTGGCATTGTACATTCATTTCTATACTTGCTGATCAGTTCAGTTTTCTACCCCTAGACTAGCCCCGTAAGGATTTTTTCTTCTCCTAGTTGTCCTTTGGTCCTCAGTTCCTGGCATACCTGAACCATAAAAGGTGGTGAGTGTCAATCTGTTAAGTGAACAAACAAAGGAATTAATATGGCTCCTGTGGCAAACGCACTTGGTAATTGCCAGATGGGAGACTTAGGAAGCATTAAAAATGGAGAAAAAAAATCTGTCAAACTGAATGTAATTCATCTGGGGGAGAAAATACTGTATGGGTACAGATGCGAAGAAGGGGTGAAAGTACACAAGTTGTGGAGAAGGCCCTCAATGGATGGAATTACTACAACTTAGTTGTGATGTTATGGAGTGTATTTGTTCCATAGGATGAGCACTGGATTGCTAACCACATTGTCAGTGGTTCAAATCCACTCTGTTGGAGAAAGATGAGGCTTTCTGCTCCTGCAAAGATTTACAAGCCTCGGAAACACTACGCAGGGTCTCTGTGAGTCAGAACTTATCAACAATAGAACTTATCAACAATAGCAAGTTTGAAGTTGACACCAAAACAGTGGCCAGTCAGTCAATTCTGATTGACTTGTGACCCTGCATTTGTCTGAGAAGAGCTGTGGTCTGTACTGTTTTCAATGGCTGATTTTTTCAGAAGTAGATCAGCAGGCTTTTCTTCTGAGATGTCTCCAGATAGACTTAAACCTCCAACCTTTTGGTTAGCAGCCAAGTACATGAACTGTTCATACTACCCAGGGACTCCAAAGGTGACCCTATAGGTATAATAGATTTCGACTGTGGAAAACTAACAAAAACATATGCAGAATTGACTTGAAGGCAGTGAGTTTGGCTTGGTCTGGGTTTTAAGCACAATGAATTAAGAACGAATGGGTTTCGTATGCACAGCGCTGCAACATGCACTTGAGAGGGTAGGCCTGAGAAGTTCACTGAGCAGAGCTGTGGAAAATCCTGACGAATTCTGAATGTCTGCGATTTTCCACAGGCATACAATGAAAACGCACAGGCCATATGACAGATGTACACTATCTTCCCTGGATTGGAATAGTCTATTTAGGACCGAGAAGCACCAAGACTTTGCGTGCATGTGCTGGCTGTACCACAGACAGAAGAGACATCTACTGACCTGAGATCCGGTCTTTAGAAAATAGCAACTTGTGCTATACATAGTACATACTTCGCGGTGTGTTTTTTTTTTAAGAAGTAAAATTTAAATATAATGCATATTTTTAAATGTCAACTTACTGGAGGATTTCAATTTGCCTCTCAAGATTACTTCTATCTTCGGTGTACTCTCGGATTATTTCCATATCCCTGTGGAATAATAGTTGATGCTTGAATGAAAATTAGGCGTCCAGTCTTGTCTCAGCTATACCTACTTTCCCAGGCCATTTTCCACCTTTATCAAAAAGCGGTCTTTGAGAGTGCTTTTTTTTATTTTACCTCTGCTCCAGTTCTGCTGCTCCAGGTATCAGTAGCCTCACCAAGGTACTCTGCAGCCATCTGGCAAAACACTCCTGTTGCCAGGACCCTGCACAGAGTCACCCTGTGCCTCCTTGGGCAAGGTTCTGCCCCACCTCTCACACCTGTAACAGGATGCTCTTCCTCTTCAACCACACCTCAGGACCCCCAGCATTTCCAGCCCCGGCCCCATGATCCTTCTCTTAAGTCCTTGACCCCCAAGCGATCACATGAACTAGTCCCTTCAATCCAAAATCCTTCTTTGCCAACTTTAAGCTTTATATGTATAATCCTAACCCTATTCTGTGGCACTACAGAATAAACACTGGACTGATAATTTCAGTGAGTCGGTAGTTCAAACCCACCAGTCACTCCTTGGATATACTATACAGGATCCCTGTAAATGGGAACCAACTTAACAGCACTCAACAACAACAATAACAACAACCTGGTCAACCTTTTCCTTCCCTGTGATTCCCTCACCTTGCCTGACCTTGTGCCCACTCCTCCTTCCATTCCCCTTCTCATTCCCAAACTGCAGAGGAATCCAAGAATCAGACTCAGTAAACACTCACACTTGCCAATCCCACTGCTTATTACTTAAGTCCTGGCTTCTTCCTCAAAATGTCTACAGAGTGGTTTCCATGGTAACCACAATGTACCTGATTGTTACCTGTCTCTCCTCTATACGAATAAAGTATTATTCTCAAAGAGCAGACTAGATCTTTTATTTTTCACATACACTCCATAACTCATCTAAATCAGGGAACTGGAAATAAATAAACTGCATTTAATACTTACCACTGTTTTCCATTATAAGATCTTAATTCTGGTTAAAGCTTACAAAAACAAACAATAAACAAGGTATTTTGCCAAGTGTGTACATACATAGGCACACAGACACAGGTAATGCAGATAAATGTGCTCACACACATTCCCACCCATAAGGGTTAGCTTTAAAGTATTACTAGTAGTGTCCCAGTTCACAGAAGACATGTTTAAACATGTCTCTGTGATCAAGGGATGGCCACAGACAAGTTCTCTCAGTGATACACTTGTCTAAGTCTTGTTAGGGGGTCTATCATCAAAACAAGAGCTTCCAAGGGGATAGAGGTCAACTCAGAAGGTTACAGCAACTGTTTCTGGGGATTCCAAAGGGGTAATTTTGATTTTCCTAAAGGACACAAGACAATCAACTGGGCTTATTATGAAAAAGATTCTACAAAACTGAAAACTGCACTGGTGAGAAAGAGGCCAGAAAGTTTTGTCAAGGAATTTTTATCCTATCATGACAATCCATCTGTTAATTTTTAAAAGGTAGCAAGGGTTATCCTATGAGAATTTTAGGGGGAAACTTATCCCATATATCCTACTGCTCTAATCTTGCCCATTCACACTTCTTTTTGTTCCCTGACTCAAAAAGCATTTTAAAGGAACACAATTTGCATCTCTCAAGGAGGCCAAAACTTCTGCTTTGATGTGGTTTAAATGGAAAAACTCAGAATTCTTCCAGGAAGGGTCAGAGAGATGGCAATGCCACCTTCAGCAGTGTATAGACATAGATGGAGAATATGTCAAGAAACAATAGCTTCACATTTTGATATCTTTGTTGTATAAAGGTGTCTACAATTTTGTAGCAATACTTTTAAACTAACCCTTATTTATTTATTTCATTGATTCATATACTTGAATATACTATGAAATCTGGTAAAAGTAAAATATTTAGGAAATAAAAAACATATTAACAAAGTTAGTAAATCACCCGTTATTCTCATTTGCATACATGATTGCCTGTCAATCATTCCACTCCAACTACAAAATCAAATGCAAACCTTCATACCTTTCAGAATTCAGACTCTGATCAGCATAATCACTTTTCAAAGCATCTAATTCACTCTGAAGAAAGGCTATGCTTGTCTGTGCTTCCAAAAGTTCTTTCTTAACTTTCTGATTTTCCTAGAGAAAAGGAATAGTGTTGTCATTAGACTCAGAATGTCTTCCACGTGGAGAAATGAAGTAAAATGTACTTACCTCCCACCCCCAATAGACCTTTAAATCTTGGTGTCCCAGCAACAAATGATCAGTTCAATTTAATTTGAGATGATCATAAATTATCACAGCGTCAAAAACCTAAATCCTCAAAGTTGTTCACTTTTTTTAACACTTGACATTTGTACCAAACTACAATAGCCAAGAGTTTATCATGATGTTTTCTATTTAATATGTAATTAGCAAAGTAACTGAGACCAAACATTTGAACACCTGTTTAACTCAATGAAAGCTATAAAATTATTGATAAATGTCCTGTGGAATTCCTGCTACGTATAACCAAGTGGAATGACTACATGTTACAATGAGTCCTTTCATCAAACATTGTTAAGTTTTACACTAAGAAAACTCCTACTGTGGTGAGAATATTTTTTATATTTTTCTTAAAAGCCTATCACTGAAAACTTCAAATGATTGACTGGGCACAGGAGTTTGCCTTTATTCCCTTCTGAGAACCATTAACAGGAAGAAATGAAAAAAATAACAATTGATAGAATGGAAGCAGAGACCATCAGCAATAAAGGGAGTACAATATGGAATATTTTTAGAAAATAGAAACTGAATGAAACTGTGATAACAAAGGGAAGAGAGTGGAAAAAAGAGAAATTCAGAAAAGGTTGTTGAACAAATAAAGAGGCAATTGGACACAGAATTCCAGACTGTGGGAATAAGAATGGGCTAAAAATACAGGCTAAAAGTATTCTGTATATTAAGGCTTGCTCCCAAGCCTTCCATCTCTCTTAATTCAACAAAGAATTGCAGTTAGCTAAGGTTAACTGCAAATGCAATAAGAAAGGGCTCTTCTTTATATGAACTGGATGAGAACATTGTGGAAAGTTAAAGCTTCTCTGTGAATAAGCATGCCCCTCTCATTCTTGTGTTCCTGGGTGGCATACATTGCTAAGGGCTCAACCATTACGCATAGGTTAGCAGTTTGAATATACCCAGTGGCATCTCAGAAGAAAAACCTACCAACCTACTTCAAAAGATTCCAGCCATTGAAAACCCTATGGAGTGTAGTTCTACTCTGATATACTAGGTCACCTAGAGTCAGAATTGGCTCAATAGCAAATATTTTTAGTCTTTAAAAAAAAAAACAGCTCATTCTGATCACTGGAGCCCACAATCTGACAGACAACTTCAGATATGGAACTTGTTGGATAAAACCCTCAAACAGGGGGAGCTTAGGCATGAATAGATCTACATACCTCTCTGATACCAATTACCTAAAATATTCAAGCTAATCTTCAATTTAAGAATGTGACGAGACCATCAAGAATTGTCAAGTATGTTCAATAAAGGTCAAAATAAATAAATCCCAGAGGAGTGTCAGAAAAGCTTATGTAATTAAAAAAACTTTCAGTAAATTTATGAGGGGAACATACACATATTCAGATATGTATGACCAAGAAAATTTACTTCGCACATATATCCTTTCAAGTAAAGATATCCTTTTTGAATTAGAACCCCAAAAAGGAGAAAAATGTAATATGTAAAATGGTGCAGTTAAACCAAGAATTCCATGAAAACAAAATCCTGCAAGTTAGCACACTATAAAATAAGTCTTCTCAAGAAGAAAAATGAAATTAATTCCACACACTGGGAAGAATATGAAAGAAACGGTATCAGTGACATTATGAAGACAACAAATTTCTGTCACAAAATCCAAGAAAAAACAAGTACAAGAGAATCATGATCCAAATAAAAAGTCAACAACTGGCCAGCCTCTCTTCCGGGTGACTAAAGCAAAGGAAATGTAATCCTAGCTCTCCTCTTAGCTCTGCAGTGAAAACAGAGTCATAATAAGATAAATGTTCTTTACTGGCTTTCAACTTTTAGAGTCTACCTAAAGGCAAAATCCACATGGATTTTGGGTTATGGACCAAAACAGAACAGTATCTGAATTGACTGCTTTGGATTAATCATCAGAACACATCAATCACTAGAGAAGAGCATTATATTTATTGAAATAAGAGACCAATGAGGGTGGGAGAGACCTCCAATAAGATGGATTGGTACAGTAGCCTTAATGATAAACTTGAATATGCCAGTCAGTGATGGTGAAGATAATGTAGAACCAGGCAACACTTAGTTCCACTGTACTTAAAGTCATGGAAGACTCATTAACAATCTTCAATATGTAGGTGACACAACAGTGCTTGCCAGAAGCACAGAGGACTTGAAATATTTACTGATGAAGACCCAAGAGAGCAATATGGATTGTGTCTCAATATAAAGAAAGCAAAAATACTCACAACTGGGCCAATCATGATAATCATCATGAAAAATGGAGAAAAGATTGAAATTGTCAAATACTTCATTTTACTTGGATCCACAATCAACACTCATGGAAGCAATAGTTAAGAAATTAAAATATGTACTGTATTAGGCAAATCTGCTTCAAAAGACATCTTTAAAATGTTAAAGAGCAAACATGTCACTTTGAAGACTAAGCTATGCTTGACTCAAGCCATAGTATTTTAAATTAACTTATATACATGTGAAAGTTGGGCATTGAATAAGGAAGACTGTATAAGAATTGATGCATTTGAATTTTGGGGTTGAAGAATGCCCACAAGAACAAACAAATCTGTCTTGGAAAGTACAGTCAAAATGTCTCTTAGAAGCCAACATGGCGAGACATCCTCTCTTGTACTTTGGACATGTTGTCCATACGGACCAGTCCCTGGAAAACATCATGTTAATGAAGTGAAAAGGTCAGTGGAAAAAAGAAAGACCCCATTGAGATGGACGGATAGTAGCAGCAGCAGCAATGGACTCAACCATTACAACTGTGATAATGCTGCAGGACTGGGCAGTGTTTGCATCAGAGTCAAGAGACATATTTGATTCAATGTCAGCATATCTACATGCTCACCTATAGGCAAAATGAAAATCACTAGTAATGATAACAGCATAGCTATGGATGCTATCCATTTTGGCAATAAAAAAAAGTGAACGCGTTGTTGGCAGAAGAAGGGAAAGGAAGAGAAGGAAATTTGGAGAAAGGCAGGGCAATTATATTCTCATCAACAGACGAGAGTTGATGTTGTGTGAATGCAGGTTAACTATGCTGTGTAAAGTTTAAAGGCAGTTAGCAGGGAAAGTAAAACTAGTTACATAAAAAAAGAAGTTGGGAGACAGAGATAGCAATGTAAATGCTTATCCATCAGAAGAGGACATCAATTCATAATATCTGTTATAGATTGAATTGTATCACCCCCAAAAAAGTTATATTGGAAATCTACCTCCTGTACCTGTGAGTATGAGTTTCTTTGGAAATAGGTTCTTTGAAGCTTTTTCAAGTTAACGCAAGGTCATACTGAGGTAGGGAGGATCCTAATCCCATCTCAGTGGTGTCTTATAAAATAAGAAAATAAACACAAAAACAACAGGGAAAGGATCACATGAAGAAGCTTCTACAAACAGCAAAGCAGCTACTGGAAGCTAGGAGAGAGTCATGAACTAGTTCCTCTCCCAGAACCCTCAGAAGTCATCAACATGGCCAACACCCGGAACTCAGACTTCAGCCTCCAAAACTGTCAGACAAACAATGCCTCTACTTTACAGTGGAAGTGTTGTTTTCCACTTTATTACTTTGATTAAAAAATAAATGAAAGCATTCATAGTATGTGTGGCTTTCATTGAAAGGAAAAGCTTGTATAAATGACACCTAGCTTAAAGGCATTTTAAAGACTTTGGTATTAATTTCTTTCTAAACATCTATTCCTGGAACCCTGAAATAAAAGCATAACTACATTTAGAATACTGAGCAAATAATCCGAGAAGCTGGGTTACATGAAGAAAATGTGGCATCAAGATTGGAGGAAGACTCATTAATAATCTGCAATATGCAGATAGATGATACAACCTTGCTTGCTGAAAGCGAAGAGGACTTAAAACATTTACTGCTGAAGATCAAAGAGCACAGCCTTATGTATAGATTACATCTCAATGTAGCGAAAACAAAAATCCTCACCACTGGACCAATAAACAATATTCTTATCAATGGAGAAAAGACTGAAGTTGTCAAGGACTTCACTCTTCTTGGATCAACTATCAACACTCGCGGAAGCAGCAGTCAAGAAATAAAACGATGTATTCCATTAGGCAAATCTGCTGCACAAAACCTTTTTAAAGTGTTGAAGAGCAAAGATGTCAGCTTGAAGACTAAGGTGCGCCTGACCCAAGCCATGGTATTTTCAATAACCTCATATGCATGCGAAAGCTGGACAGTGAATAAAGAAGACCATAGAAGAATTGATGCTTTTGAGTTATGGTGTTGGAGGAGAATATTGAAAGTGCCATGGGCTGCCAAAAGAACCAATAGATCCGTTTTGGAAGAAGTGCAGGCAGAGTGTCCCTTAGAGGCCAAGATAGCCAAACTTCGTCTCTCATACTTCGGACATATTGTCAAGAGGGACCAGTTTCTGGAGAAGGATATCATGTTTGTTAAGGTGGAGGGTCAGAGAAAAAGAGGAAGACCCCCAACGAGACGGACTGGCCATTGATGGACTCAAGCGTGGCAACAGTAGTGAGGTTGGCCCAGGATCAGGCAGTGTTTCATTCTGCTGTGCATAAGGTCGCTATGAGTCAGAACCAACTGGATAGCACCTAACAACAACAAAATGCTTAGAAAACAGCAACTTATAGGAAATGTATTTCTGTAAATGGAACGGTGATTCTTACCATTGATAAATCAAAAATTTGTTTTTTTAATGCAGTCACGTCTTCTTTCTGACTTATGTGTTTTGATTGTTCTTCTAGCTGCAAAAGCAAATAAAAGTTATATGTTTATGAGTTCACTTTGAATTGATGTGGTTAAGCTTAGGAATGTCCTAAGTATGAGAATTCTTTAAGTCTTGAATTTTCAGCCTTACATAACTTTGTAAATCATAATACTATATAAAATCCAGAAAGAGCTGAAAGTGTGTTTTCACTAATTTAAACATTTGCAAAAGAGATTTTATTTTAAAATCAGTTTTCTTTGAAACCATTCAAAAGTCTTTTGGAAGACATTCAACTACAAAGCAAGACAACCCTCACTTTTTCGGTTATGTTGTAGATTAGTCAAGGCATTTATGTTCCCCTAGAACTTAATCTGTATCTAGTCTTTATGACCCTGTATTATAGTTATTTATAAACGTCTTCTTTCTCCTACAAGAGTTTAAGCTCTCTAAGAGCAGAGCTAATATCAGATTCATCTATGTGTCTTCCATCATAACGTCATAAAATGCTTATTAAATGATGGAAATAAATAAAATATAGGAGTGACATGAAGTTAGAGATAGACATATATGAAATTATATAAACAAACACATGAGCTTTGCCCTCTGGCTGACTCATTAGTATTATCAAACTAAACTAATTCAGAAGCATCTATAACATGAACGAAAAAAAATTCTTTCCTAAAAATAGCTTGCATTCTCAAGGAATTGTGGGGATTTGTAGGTGTCCTTTTGTTGAATATCAATGTATTAATCAAAATGTATCCCATTATAGGGTGAAGAATTACTTTACCCAAAGGATTTCATCTTTGTCCTTGGCTCCAAGGAGGTAACTTCTAAACCTTTGGAATTCCCAAAGGTAGAGTGTTTTTGGTATTCATGAAGGCACCCTGGTGGTAGAGGGCTGCCAACCACCAGACCACAAAGGCAGCATTTCAAATCCCCCAGCCTCCAAGGAAGAGAGACGAAACTACCTGCTCCCATAAAGATTTACAGTCACAGAAACTCTAGGTAGCAGTTCTATTGTGCCCAATACAGTCACTAGGAGTTGGAATCAACTCAACAGCAATGGGTGTGGTTTTTGGTTTTGCTATTCATGAACACACCTGATCACTTATGTTGACAAGGTGACTCACGGTGTGAGCTTCAGAACACCCACCAAATGATATCAGCCTGACCTCTGGAGAGAGAAGGGACTAGGGAGTAAGTTCAACTAGATGGGCAACAGTTCAGTCACTATAAACTCTGACACCAAAGTTCAGGTGAATTTGCTGTTATATGTATATAGAAAATCCTTGTCTCCTGTATTTCTTTTTTCCCCCCAATTTGGACCCCAGTTTTATGATTTTTTTTTTGTTTGATTTAATTTTTATTGAAGCAAATATATATGTATGTAGCAAAATATTTGCCAATTCCACAATTTTTGCATGTACAACCCAATGACACTGATGATGTTCATCAAGCTGTGCACCCATGTCCGCTATTCCTTTCCAGTTATTCCATCATCATTAATAGAAACTTGGGTCCCTAAGCAATGGTATCTCTTTGCTATGTTGGTCCTGATTTGTGTCCTTTTTGCTATTATACATCTGTAATCGTAAGTATAATGCTTTTCTGAATTCTGAACCACAGAATTAGTACAGCGACTTCTGAGCTTGTGACTGGTGTTCTGAGGAGTTGCTGTTGCTTGATGTTGAGTGCCACTAAGTCAGCTCCAACTCACAGCATTCCTGTCTAAGGTGTCCGAGGAGTGCCTGGTGAGTTTGAACCACTGATCTTGTGGTTATGAGTCCAGTGCTTATCCTACAGTATCACATCAGTTTACATGCAGCAGGTCAAAGTACCGGAGTCCCTAGGACACTTGTCCTGGTCTCTGAAGTACTTGGCAATCTACAAAATTAGACCTTTTATGTGTAAAATCTTACCTAACTCCAGGTGATTAGGATCAGAAGAACTAACACTACAGTTAGTGCTGGAACAGAACTGAGCAGAAATGATCAAGTTTTCAATGCACATTTCATCAATTCTTTTAAGTTGGATTTTCTGCCTCTTGTCAGACAGTACCAACTAAAGTATTATATGAAGCTATGTACAGGAATTCCTCATTTTATTGGGCTTTGTTTTATTGTGCTTCACAGATTGAAGGTTTGTGGCAACCCTGTGTCAAGAAAGCCTACTGGTGCCATTTTTCCCATGGTGTGTAGTCACTTCATGTCTCTGTGTCACATTTTGGCAATTCTCACAATGTTTCAAACTTTTTCATAATGTTACTGCATAGTTAATAGACTACAATATAGTATAAACATAATTGTTATATATATTGGAAAACCACAACATTTGTGTGACTGACTTTATTGTGACATTCCCTTTATTGGGGTGATCTTGAACCAAACCTACAATATCTCTAAGATATTCTTATAATGGTGACCACAGTGAAGAGTCATTGATTCTAAGATACATTACAACTTCAGAGAGAATAAATTTTGGGAACAAATAAGTTTCTCAGAATCAATGATATAGGATGATGACAGTTATAGTAAAATGCATTACCCTTTCTAGCCTTCTTTATAGCCTTTAACATACTCTCACATAAATCACCTCTGATTTGTCTTCCCTAATATCCCTACCAGATAGTCAGGAGTCTGGTATAAATGAAAGAAAGTTCAAACTGTATGTAGTAAGACAAGACCATCACTCATCGGCAGTATGACTTTAAACAAGTTATGTAACCTCTCTGGAACTCAATGTCATCCTATGTGAAGGAAGGATATTTATACATGTCTCAGAGAAAACAAAAAATTATTTATTTCTAGCTATGAAAAATAAATTAATAAACATAAAATCAATAAAATATTGTAATTAGGTAGGACCGTTATTATGAATCTTATTTGACAGATAAGAAACTAAAGATATAAAGGATGGAGTTGATTGTCCCAGGTACCACAGGCAAAAACTGGCACAGTCTAGATAAGGACTTGTGGTAGCGTAGTGGTTACGAAGCGGGCTGCGAACCTTACAGTCAGCGGTTCGAAACTACCAGCCGCTCCGCAGGAGAAAGATGAGGCTTTCTACTCCCGTAAAGATTTACACCTTCAGAAACCCTGTACAGGGTCGCTATGGGTCAGAACCGACTCGACGGCACTTAACAACAACAACAAAGATAAGGACTTGAACCCTGGTATGGCACTAAAAGAGTCCATTAATAACTCAGTCACCTTGAAACACTGAAGCTATTCAAGTGCCTACCTTTTTGAGTTTTTTTATCGTCACCTGCAGATCTCCTACTTCTGTTTCATACTGACGTCGGAGGTCACTAAGTGCTTCTTCAGCTTTGCGCTTTTCCTAAAAAGAAAAAAAAGATTTTGTGGCACATTTACAGGATTGATCTCAAGAGGTTTCATTTAGTGATTAGGAATTAATTAATCAGTTAATTATCACTAAGCAATGAAAAGATATGGCATAGCTAAGGAATTCAGTTCGTTGACATGGGGGTGGGATGAGTTTTGCCCCTCGTTATGAAAGATGGTTCCAAACCCACCAGCTGCTCATGAAAGAAAGATATCTGCCTCCATAAAGTTTGATAGTGGTGGTGCTGCTGCTGGTGGTTATGTGCTACGGAGTCAATTCCGACTCATAGCGACCCTGTATAGGGTTTCTGAGGCTGTAAATCTTTACGGGAGCAGAAATCCTTTCTCCCACAGAGCAGCTAGTAGTTTTGAACTGCTGACTTTGAGGTTAGCAGCTCTACTCGTAACCACTACACTACCAGAGCATATTCTGCCACATCTTAAGGCTAACTTATTAGTTTGTTTAGCTTTCTGTCTGACTGTACATGACCAGGACCAGTAGCCCTTGCGTCTACAGTAAAGCATGGTGACCGCATGTGTATTCATATGATTTTCAGTGGCTGATTTCAGCCTTGAAAACCTGTTTTAAGGGTCACTATAAAACTGATGCCAACTGGTTTGTTTTGGGGTTTAATCTGCATCGGTGAAGAATGCCTAAATGAATCTACCAAAGCAAAAACTCTATGCTAAGCAAAACTACCAAAGAAACCAAAAGAGCAGTTACCATTGAGTAGATTCTTACTGGTGGAAACCCCATTTGCTGTAGAGCAGAACTGCACTCCATAGAGTTCTGTTTGCTGCTCTTAATAAAGTTTATTTTATTTGTTGTTGTAGAACATACACTAATCCATCAATCTCTACATGTATTAGTCAATGATAGTTTCATTCTCCTTTCCCGTGTTATTCCTCCCCTGTTAACATAAACTCACTACCCCTACATTTCATATCTAATGTTTTGAATTGCTGTCCTCAGTTTGATATCATAGAGACAGATCTCAAAAGAGCACAGTGCTCAACACAGAAACTCTTTACTGGTTAAACTTCACTATTCTACAGTTTAAATAAGACATCAGGAGAAGAGGTTTGTCACACTTTTTTTTGTTTAAGACTTTAAGTTTATCTCAGGGTAATAGTTTGTGAGGTTTTCAAGTCTGTGCTCTTTCAGATGCAGACCATCAACCTTTCTTCCAAGGGGGTTGAACCTTTAGTCTTTCAGTTAGTAGCAAAGGATTTAACTGTTTGCCCCACCTAAGTACATAGACAAACTATCTACTTAAGTCCCACTTAAAACAAGGGAAGCAGAGCAGTATCAAAAGAATACAACAAAATCCATAACCAGGAAAGTTCTAGTATACCTCAAAATCCATTGAAGTGTTTCATTAAGTGATTGTTGTTGTTGTTAACTGACGTCGAGTCGGTTCCGACCCATAGCGACCCTGTACAGGATTTCCGAGGGTATAAATCTTTACGGGAGTAAAAAGCTTCATCTTTCTCCCACGGAGTGGCTGGTAGTTTCGTACCCCTGACCTTAAGGTTCGCAGCCCAATTCGTAACCACTACGCTACCAGAGCTCCTTTAATCATTAAGTGATTAAAGAGAATTTTTAGAACTCCTGGTGTGATGCTGTAGGATAAGCACTAGACTACTGACTACAAGGTCAGCGGTTCAAACTCACCAGCTGTTCCTTGGAAACTCTATACAGGGTTGCTATGTATTGTAACCGACTTGACGGCACTTAACAAAGACAAGAGATTTATTTGCTGTGAGCCAGTGCTCAGGTTTTAGTGTGTAATCTGGCTTCTCATGTTTTCAGCAGTTTTCTCTTTGGTCATTTTGCAGATGATTCGGTTTCCCAAGTCTTTGCAGGAAGCTATTATGTTATCAGCTCAGCACTGCAAGGTGGATTCAGCCTTCCACCTAGAGCTTACACTTAATCTGAATTCAAATCACATCCCCTGCAGACTTCCATGCACCATGCTTCCTATGGAGTCCTGGTGTGGCCCTGTAGGATAAGCACTTGATCGCAAGGTTGGTTTGAATAGCAGGGTCGGCAATTCAAACTCACCAGCCATTCCTCAGAAACCCTAGATAGGGTCACTATGAGTCAGAACTGACTTGATGGCACTTAACAGCATCTTAATAACTTATGCTTCCCTCATAGGTTGGTACTTCTCAAAAGTGTCACATCAAGTTCTCCTGAAACTGAGAATGGCTACTTGACAGCCCAGGAGGTCAAAGGTTGCCCTTCAGTAGCCTGCAGAAGCTCCTATGAGTCTAAACATCTTGAAGTTTCTTTCTTATTTTATCAAGTTAGGTGATTTTATAGCCTATGCTAAGCACTAAAGAGAGGTGTATTCTCAGGTATGTCAATGCCCTGGGAGCCACTTGAAAGGTGAGGAGCATTTTTGAGAGGCACAACTGAGCAGTTTTTCTATTACCCATCCGTTTCCAGTGAGAGCTCATTCAGCAAGTTAAAACTAATACATTCTTATTTGAGAGCCTTCATGGGTCAAGGCAGACTGTGTGATCTTGCTCTGCTGAGCGCAGAAAAAGAAACTGAAAAAACAAAAAGATTTTTTGCCCATCATAGACCAATTCCCACCAGTGAAAGCAAGGAAGGTGCAGTTGTAATTTTCAGGTAATGTCATAGTGCAGTAAGTAAAAGATTAGCAGGCTTGAATTATATTTTTGAGCTGATATATTACAGCAAAGTTATTCAAAAGATGGGCTGAATGAGGTGCAATTTCACTGCTTGCCACAGACGCTGTTTTCTGTAGATAGCCTCTGGCACTAAAATAAAATTTTATGTTAATCAACAGTGGAGTTCATTGTATAAATATTCACTGATAGTCTATGATACACCAAGACTGGTTCCAGGATTTAGGGACGGAGCAGGGAGTAATAAGGACAAAATGATGCTCTTGTGCAGTCTAGTAGGGGAAAGAGAAAAGAAAAGTGATTGCATAAAGGGATGCTAAAAAGAAGTTTACAACAGGGAGAGATGACAGTAAACCAGATAGACAAGAGGTTAGTAGGCCTCTGTGAAGAGATGACAAGATCCCATACCTTTCTGCACCCCCTTACTAGTCAACAGGCAAGTTCCTTGGCCTATTGATGCCTCCATTGTCTTACTGGATAACTGTGAGAGCCAAAGGAAATAATCCATACAAATTAAATACTTTACATAAATTAAATAACTAGTGTAAATTAAGTAATTGGGGGTGGGGGAATGAAACACTGCTGTTGTTAGATGCTGTTGAGTCGATTCTGACTCACAGCGACCTCATATGCACAGAGCAGAAGTGCTCCATGGGGCATCGAAGTCTGTGATCTTTGGGGAGCAGATTCCCAAGTCTTTCTTCTGAGAAGCTCCTGGATCCATTTGAACTGCCAACCTTTCAGCTAATTAACCATTTGTATTACACAGGGACTTCTGAAAATTAAATAACCAATTAAAACAATTAGCGGAAGAGCAATATTTCCAGTAATGCTAACTTTTTTCCTTTTTTGTAAACAGAGTACCTTGACTTCATTTCAGTTTTCCAGTTGAAACAACAGTATTGCCCACCTTACAGGTGAATGAAGATACTAGGCCTCAAGATGAGGTACCAATTTAGATATCCTTCCTCAAATCGAAATGACCGTGAATACAGCTCAGCAAGTCTCTTTGCTGGTTCCTAGCCATAATCCCAGACCAATTCTCTACTTGTTGTTGTTGTTAAGTGCCGTCGAGTCGGTTCCGACCCATAGCGACCCTGTACAGGGTTTCCGAGGGTGTAAATCCTTACGGGAGTAGAAAGCCTCATCTTTCTCCCGCGGAGCGGCTGGTAGTTTCGAACTGCTGACCTTAAGGTTCGCAGCCCGATTCGTAACCACTACGCTACCAGACTTCTAGAAAATAGATGCTATTTGGTGAATTACTTGATATAGCCTTTCTAGTTGAAGTCTTTGTAATTCTTCCATTCACTTTAGCTTCTCTATGCTGGAAAACAAGTTTGAGAGTCTCTTCTGACATCCATTTTGGTGTTTTCTTTCTTCTTTTTAATGACCTTTGCTTTCTTCTTCTCTGATGTCCTTGATGTCATCCCACAACTCTTCTGGTCTTTAATAAAATAGATTTAATGCATCAAATCTGTTTTTGAGATGACCTCAAAATTCAGGTGGGATAGAGTCAAGTTCATATTGAACAATGAACAAGTTCAAGCTCTCTTGAACTTGTTTTAATTTTTTTCAACTTCAGCCTGAACTTACATATGAGCAATTGATGGTCTGTACCACAGTCTGCACACCTGGCCTTGTTTTGACTAAAGATATGAAGCTTTTCCACCATCTTTTCCCACAGATATAGCCAATTTGATTTCGGTATATTCCATCTGGTGAGATCCAGGTATATAATCACCCTTACATTGCTTAAAAACTATATTTGCAATGACAAGGTTATTGGTCTTGCAAAATGCTGTTGTACAAGCTCCAGCATCATTTCTATGACCAAGGCATTATTTTCCAACTACTGATCCAGCTTTTGCATTCCAACCACTGGCAATTATCAATGTATCTTGATTGCATGATAAAACTGAAGAAACTGGTAAAATGTCTCAATTTCATCATAACTGGCTTTAGTGTTTGATGTGTAAATTTGAATAATTGTGGTATTGCTGGTCTTCCTTGTAGGTGTGTGGATATTATCTTATCACAGACATCATTATATTTTAAAATAGATCTCGAATGCTCTTTTTGAATCACATACTTAGAATGTACAAAAAAAAAAAAAAAAAAATTTAGCCTGGGCAGTTACTTAACCTCTTGGTGGCTCCATTTTCTTACTGGATTATTGTTGAGGACTAAATTAAATAATCAAGTAAATAAAATAATTCCTATGACTTGAATAATGCATACAAATAAAACTCGTTTAGCAATACTTCAAAAAACTATATCAATGTACAAAAATAAAACACATTAGCAATGAACAGTCAGAAATTTAAAAAAATAGTATATCATTTATCAAAATATGAAAGTTAGGACTGTATCTGAGAAATGATATGTAAGACCTAGACACTGAATACTATAAAACACTGTTCACATATAGTACAAAAGCCTACCTAAGGAGCTACCTAAGGAGCTCTGGTAGCGTAGTGGTTACTAATCAGGCTGCGACTCTCATGGTCAGCAGTTCGAAACTACCAGCTGTTCCGCGGGAGAAAGATGAGTCTTTCTGCTCCCGTAAAGATTTACAGCCTCGGAAACCCTGTACAGGGTCACTATGAGTCAGAACCGACTCCACAGTACATAACAACAACAATACCTAATTCAGGAGTCCTGGTTTGGCACTGTGGGATAATGCACTGGCCTGCAAGGTTAGTTTGAACTGCAAAGCCAGGGGTTCAAACTCACCAGTCACTCCCTGGAAATCCTATTCAGGGTCACTGTCAGTCAAAACACTTAACAACAACAATATCTAATTAAGTGGGAAACTATATCATGTTTCTAATCCAGACTATTCAATACTTTTAAGATATCAATTCTCTTTAAACTGATCTATAAATGACATAAAAATGGAATAAAATCCAAATTAAAACCCCTGCAAATTTGTTTTGCAATTTTTTTTTAATTTTTTTTTTTTTTTTTTTTAGGAAATGAAAGCCTAATTCTAGGAAATTGAAAAATACCTAGACTATCCAAAACCTTTGGAAAAAAAGGAAAGTTGAAGAACTAACAGTATTTGATTCCAAAACTGATTTTAAAGCAACAGGTATCAAGACAGTGTGATATTAATAAGAAGACAGATAAACCAACCAATGAAATAGAATAACTCAGAAATTAACTTACATACATACAGTAAAGTGAATTTGGACAAAAGTAAAGAGGCAATTCAGTGGAGAACAGTCTTTTCAATAACTGCTGATGGGACATATAAAATCCTAAAACCTAAAATTTCTAAAAGAAAACACAAGAGAAGATCTTTGTGGCATTGCGTTAGGCAAAGATTTGTTCAAAAGCACTATCAATTTGGTAAACTGAACTTCATCGAAATAATGAATACTTGGGTCTTCAAAACACACTGTTTAGAGAGTAAACAGACAAGTTACAGCCTGAGTGAAACTGTTTATGGATCAAAGTCAATAATAAGAAAATCAACAACTTACTTTTTAAAATGGGCAAAAGGTTTCAAAAGAAACTTCACAAGTACACCTATGGATGCAGTAGCTCAAAAGAAGGAACAAATCCTTACAGCAAGAATCATTCCCACCTCCTCCACACACAGAGTAGACAGGGATGGGCAAATTGGACACTGGCTACCCAAAATGGGGGGGAGGGGGGGTGGGGCTACAAAGGCAAGAAGTGACTGGCTTATTAGCTTTCAAGAGGGAACCTAGAGCCAGAGGGCATGGAGGAAGGCAGAATCTCCACTGAGCAGTATCCAATCTATCTAGGTGGAGCTAATGAAATGAAATGCAGATGGGTCTCTTGTGATACAACAGTGAATAATTGTTATCAGGACTGATTGTGAGAGTTGGAAATGTAAAGGTAGACGTTTTATAGCAAGGAGGGGAGTGATTAACTTTCCAATCTAGGAGCAGAGATCCCTAGGACCATCAATGGAGAAGAGCGGAGAGCGGGACCATACCCAGAGAAGCAGTGATGCCTGAGATAGAAGCAGAGATGAGGACGTGGAGTGATGAAGCAGCTGGGGACTTTAGATCCAGAGAGAGAGCGACTGTGTGCTGAAGACTGGGTGGTGGGGGGAGTGTGGGTGACAAGCTTGCAGGGTATATACCCTTCGGTTGGTTGATGATGCATGGAGGGGATTGTAACCATGGCAATGAAACGATATATGATAGAATGAATGTAAAACTAATGTTCTCTCATGTAAACTATCATATAATTCACAATAAAACATTAAAAAAAAAACTTCACAAGATATAGAGATATAAGCACATGAAAAGATATTCAGCATCATTAGTCATTGTTGTTATTATTAAGTGCCCCTGGGTCAGTTCTGACTGACAGCAACCCAGTAGAGGAGCAGCTGGTGGATTTGAACCACTGTGCTTGTGGTTAGCAATCCAGTGTTTATCCTACAGCACCACACCAGGACTATAAATTAAAACCACCGTGAGATTCCTCTGCATTCCTATTAAAATGAATCTCTTGAACAATGCTGGGGAAAATATATAATGATATAACTACTTTACCTTGGTACAATAGTTTGGCAGTCTTTTAGCATAAGAACAACATTTAAACATAAACCAAGACATAGAACAGCTGTTCCCTGTTAGGATTTTGCCCGTGAAAATTAAAAGTGTCCAAACAAAGACTTGTACTTGATTACTCATACGCTTTATGTGTCATAGCCAAAAACTGGAAATAATTCAAATGTCCTTCAACAGAAGAACGAATAGGAACAAGTATAATGTTGTATATACACGCAATAGAACATTACTCGGCAATGAAAAAGAATGAACTATTGATACATGTCGCAATACTGTTGAGACTTTTAAACAATTATGCTGAGTTTAAAAAGCCAGGTGTGATAGTTAAGGTTTTGTATTAACTTGGCTGGGCAGGGTTCTCAGTGATTTACCAGTTAAGATGTAGTTATCACCTTCATGATGAGATTTAATAGGACGCAGCCACTCTCATGATGTAATGTGATGTGATAAGCATGATCTGATGTAATTATCCTCACTGCTATGATGTTAAGGAGGTCAGTGCAATCTACAGGATTAGGTTTTATTTTGAGTCAAGCTCTTTTGATATCTAAAAGGAGAGAGAAGTGGACAGAGAAAGAGGAACCCATTGCCACCAAGAAAAAAGCCAGGAGTGGAGTGAATTCCTACACTGTGAAGCTCTTAGACCCACAATTCAGAGGAAGATTGATATCAAGACGCACAGAGAACTCCAAGGAATGCTAGGCCTGCAGATGCTAAAAGGTGACAAGGACAAAAGAACACATTTTTTCTCTGTCAAAGCCATCCACATGCATTTCTGTTACAGCAGCATCCAAGAACTAAGACAGCAAGTTAAGGAAGAGTGTAAACTGTATGATCCCACTGATATAAAATTCTTAAGAATTCAAACGAATCTATAATGACAGAAAAGAGAACAAAGGAAGCCTGGCAGAAGGGGCAATTAAGGGAAGAGGGGAGGTAGGACAAAGGCATAAGGAAGCATTTACAGTTGAGGAAGATTATCTTGATTGTAGTGATGGTTTCACGGTATATACATACGTAAAAACTCATTGAATTATACACTTGAAATATGTGCAGCTTACTATATGCCACTTATACCTCAATAAAGCTGTTAAAATATTTTTAAAAACAGTAAGCATCAAACAATGCAATTTCACACCACATGCCCAACAGAAGCCAAGGCCAAGAGGTTAATGTGGCTGAAGGAATGGAGGTGGGCATTAGGGGGTATCCAGGAGAAGAGGAGACTTTCTCTGAGATTGGCAGAAGTTTGGAGAGTGTAAAGGAGAGGGCCCACCATCACCGAGGCTAAAGAAACATCTGGAGCAGAAGTAGCACAGCAGTGAATAGTTGTGCTGGCCAGGCAGCATTTTGTTCCCTTGTGCAAGGGATCAGCACACACCGGCGATCTACTCAACAGCAGCTGAGAACAAATAGGACGGGGGTGGAAAAAAGGTACATTCCATTATAAGAACAGCACAATGTGAAGATGGAATTTTATTCCACTGTCATCTAGGCTGAAAATTGGCAGCAGATGCATGGTAATGAGAAGGTGAAATGTAAAAGCCAGGTGACCTTCTCCATCTTCTTCTTCAGGTCTCAGGTCCTCAAAGAGGTCTAAAGCAGTCTCCACCGCAGTCACTGCCTAACACACAGGCTGTTTTGTTTCTACCACTGCACTCATGGCTACCTGGAATCATCCACTGGATTGGATTACATGTTTATTCTTACCTTACTGCCTCCCCCGCAAAAACAAAACAAAACAATCCAAAAAAAGCAATCCACCACCACTAAAAATGCTTTTGACTTGCTGCACCCACATCTCTATACCGTGCGCAGCACCCAGTACATAAAACAAGATCTATGAAATGTATTGAGTCAATGGGCCAATCCCAGAAACTCACATCTTTCCGTGTCTTGTGCTCTGCAGCTTGAATCCGCTGGTCCATCTCCTCTTCCATCTCACTCAACTGCATGGCTGCCTTGTCCTGGACTCTGAAATTCAACCAGATATGTGCCTTTGCATTATACTCTTAGGCTTCTAACACAAAGATAAGACCTATTTCACGGCCCACATTATACCAAACAATGAGGTGCCAGCAAGTCATTCATGACTCAGAGCAACCCCATGTGTCAGAGTAGAACAAGGGCTTTCGTGGCTGTGACCTTTCAGAAGTACACCCCAGACCTTTCTCCCAACACACCTTTTCAGTTAGCAGTTAACAGTTGAGCGCTTAGCTGTTTGCACCCCTGAGGGATTCCCTCCACACTAACAGATGAGGACAACACATTATTCATATTAACATTCCTGTTTCTTCTACAAAACAAAATTTGATTGGCAAAATTGACCATTTGGGTATAAGATTATAAAAAGTGAAATATAAAACAGATAATACGAAACTAGATTATAGCAAAGAAAGAAATTAAAGTGCTGGGCGGCTCTCCATAAATTCTGAAAATCCTATTTGCTGTCACAACTATGTCATAATCATGACATGAAAGACACTAAGAGATGGTTAAATATAATTTTGAACTTTTATTTTATAAAATTAACAATGCCATATGCTTAAGTGAAATAAAAAGACATAATCTAAGCAACTCTTATTTCTAATGTTGTTATGGTTGTTAAGTGCTATCGAGTCGGCTCCTACCCATAGAACCATATATTGTGTTTCCAAGGAGCTTCTGGTGAACTTGAACCACCGACCTTGCAGTTCAAATGGCTTTGCAGTCTGGTGCACTAACTCATTGTACCACACCAGGACTCCTAATTCCTAATAGGTCCCTAGAATGTTACCATCGAGTCAGTTCTGACTAATAAAGATGCTATGTGTAACAGAACAAAATTGTGCACCATGGGATTACCAATAGCTGGGGTTTTTTTGGAACTAGATCACCAGGCCTTTCTTTTGAGGCACCTCTTGGGTAAATTCGAACCACCAGTCTTTCATCTAGCAACTGAACATGTTAACTGTTTGCACCACCCAGGGGCTCCAGAGATAAGATTACCTTTTATTAAAATTCTGGGTGGGTTGTTGTTGTTGTAGTTTTTAACTATATCAACCAATGAAATCTCTTTAGAAGCACAGCATATTGATTAGCAAGAAAGTTAGAAATGGAAACTTCAGGTGAAGAGTCCCAGCAGCATTTCCTGTTTTAATTGTCTAGTATGGAGCTGTCTGTCATAATACAATGGCGGAAGTTTCAGATTAAACTCCCCACTCAAAAAAACAAAAAAGTTTTATTTTATCCTTTCTCAGCTACATGTGCAATTATTTATCTTTTTACATACATATTCACTGTCTATCTGTCAGGGGCAGGTTAGGATCCCTGGGCCTCTCCTGCACTGGCTTCATATTCACCCCCTTGCCCTGAGTCCTCCCCTACTAGGTGGGGATCAAGAGAAGTAGGGAGACACCCTCAGACCAACCAAAACAGCTGAATGTCCAACCACAAAAGTCCAGGGCACACCTTGAGGTACGCTTTGGGAAATGATGTGACTGTAAGCTATTTAAGTCACATGTCTCTTTTTTATACGTTGTAGTGACCTTCTCTCACCGCCTTACCTTCTAAGGAAACAGCTGTGAACACCTGGAGCTACTACTAAATGTGCTTGCTCTGCCTGCCTCACCTTTGAGCAACTCTATGTTTTTTTCTTTTTCAATTAATCAGGGAGCACATAATTATACTGTATGTGGTGGTTGTGTACAGTGGAGTTGGTTCTGATTCATAGCAACCCTGTATAAAGTTTCCAAGGTTGTAAATTATATAGAAGCAGAAAGCCTCATCTTGCTCCCCTAGAAGGACTGGCAGTTTCGAGCTACTGACCTTGAGGTTAGCAGGCCGAGTCATAACCACTATGCTACCAGAGCACCTTTAACGATACTATATGTTGTTGTGTAGGACCAAGGAAAAGACTCCATTCTGTACGTTAGCCTGAACACGTCCTCCTGTTCCAGGAACGTGCTAAATCAGCTCATGCTGCCTTAGAATATCCTTTCACCTCTAACAACAGCAAGAACTAGATAAGCAGTAGACAGGTCAACCCAAGGCCAGATGCCAGATGTTTCCCTTATCCAAGCCTAAGAACAAAGACCACCAGTACTGAACAATTAAACTGTAACATCTCATACTTTGCCAAATGTCAACCAATCCAAATATTGTAAAGCTGAAAAATCCTAAGCTTGTTTGAAAACTCTATAAAAACCCTGCAGACAAAGGGTTCAGGGGTTCTCCATCCCTCATCCGCTGCATCGGATGCAGGTGTAGTCAGAGCTCGGGCTTGAATAACTGGGAGTTCAAGGCTCCATCCCTCATCCGCTGCATCAGATGCAGGTGGAGTCAGAGCTTGAGCATGAATAATGTCAACTGAGGGTTCAAGGCTCCATCCCTCATCTGCTGCGTCGGATGCAGGTGGGGTCTGAGCTGGAGCTTGAATAAACAACCCTTGTGCACTTGCATCGGTGTCAGCTCCTTGGTGGTCTTTGGGGACCCCGAATTCTGGGCATAACAGTTGTTATGTTGTTAAGTGCCATCAAGTTGGTTCCGACCCATAATGACCCTGTACAGGGTTTCGGAGGAACAGCTGGTGAGCTTGAACTGCCGATCCTGTGATTCAAACCAACTTTACAATCCAGTGCATTAACACACAGCGTTATATATGCCCCAGCAATTCCTATGCCTTCATAAAACACCTGTAGATTTGAGAACCACCCTTTATTATCCTGCTGAAAGCCTCTAGAAAGCATACTTGAGAAAGATCAGTGTCAGGAACTGAAAAATGCTCTGTGAAAAGTTCAAATATTGCATGCCTCTGTGTCTAGGAGAAAGGTCCTATTGAATATTGAATTCTAAAGCCTTTTACTTTCTAGATACATTTTAATTCTCTTCAGGTACTCCAAATGGTCTATTTATAGCTTTAGTATCATGCTGAGGGGAAGACAGAGGACCTGAAGCAAAGTGGGGTCTGCAGTCCTCACCTGTCCTGCACGCAGGAAGGCTGTGTTTGGAAAGTTGTAGTGGTCAGCTAGGAGCTTTGGGGGAGGAGTCACGGAGGTGAGAAGAACCTGGTAGCATGACTGACAAAATGCTCTAAGTCAACACATGCCAAAGGAGTTTGGTCCTTCCAGGAAGCAGAGAGGTGAGAGGCTGTCCTCTGGATTGCATCGGTTTAAATGCAGCTATTTTGTAGGGTCCTGGTGTGGTGCTCTAAGATAAGCATTAGACTGCTCTCCTCAGAAACCCTACACAGAGGGGCTATGAGTCAGAACCAATTCCACGGCACTTAACTACAACAGCAACAAAATTGCGTGGGGCTACTGTTAAAACCAATGAGTAACCTATGTAAGCTAGTTACAGCTTAAACTGTTACAGTAACGCTTAACAGTGTTTTTGACTTTCATTTGAAGCCTGAAAACAAGGTAAGGAGGATTGTTGTTGTTGTGTTATGTGCCGTGGAGTCGGTTCCGACTCATAGCGACCCTGTCTGTACAGGGTTTCCTAGGCTGTAAATATTTACGGGAGCAGAAAGCCTCATCTTTCTCTCGCGGAGCAGCTGGTAGTTTCGAACTGCTAACCCTGCAGCTCACAGCCCGATTCATAACCATTATGGTATCAGAGCTCTTTAAGGGGGATTAGAGAGAGGAAAAGGAACTTTCCTGAACACCCATTATATGCCAGTGAGAAAGACCTGGTGACCTATTTCCATAAACACTACTATTGCTATTGTTAGATGCCATGGAGTCGGTACTGACTCATAGTGACCCTATGTACAACAGAATGAAACACTGCCCGGTCCTGGGCCAACCTCACAATTGTTACTACATTTGAGCCCACTGATGCTGCCACTGTGCCAGTTCATCTTGTTGGGGGTCTTCTTTTCTTTCTTTGATCCTCCATGTTACCAAACATGATATCCTTCTCCAGAGACTGGTCCCTCCTGACAATATGTCCAAAGTATGAGAGATGAAGTTTGGCCATCTTGGCCTCCAAGGAGCACTCTGTCTGCACTTCTTCCAACACAGATCTCTTTGTTCCTTTGGCAGTCTGTGGTACTTTCAATATTCTCATCCAACACCACAACTTAAATGCATCAATTCTTCCATGGTCTTCCTTATTCACTGTCTGAATTTCTCATGCATATGAGGTTATTGAAAATACCATGGCTTCAGTTAGGCACACCTTAGTGCTCAAACTGACATCGTTGCTCTTCAACACTTTAAAAAGGTCTTGTACAATAGATTTGCCTAATGAAATACGTTATTTGATTTCTTGACTGCTGCTTTCCATGTGTGTTAGTGGTTGAACCGAGCAAAATTAAGTCCTTGACAACTTCAAGCTTTTCTCCATTGATAAGAGATCATATAGGTACTTTATTCTATAAATATGACAGCCTAAAAACCCAGATGGAAGCAGTTCTACTCTGTCCAATAGGGTCACTATGAGTCTAAATCAACCCTGCAGCACCCAACAATTATGTGGCAGGTGCTGCATACGAGGCTCACCCAAGATGAGCTGTCTGCTTAGTCCAACACCTTGATGATGTGAATATTTTAATTCTCATTTCGCAGGGAGAGTAAGTAACCTGGGTCACACACCTGTTGGTTACAAAGCTGAGCTTACACTGGAATTCTGCCTATCTCTCTGGATGGACAGTTTCCTGTGCAGTTCAAGTGGCTGGATGGAATGCAACAAATCTCTGCAATTGTCATGCATTTCATCATTGGTCTTGAAGAGATTATGTAATAGGATGACAGTGACTTACTGATGGATCTCTAGCAGACCTACAAACTACTGCCTAACTCACTTCCCTCCTGCTGCCTTCACTTAGAAAGCTCTAGATTTCTGAGATGTGTCATCTGGTAGCGTAGTGGTTATGAATCAGGCTACGAACCTCAGGGTCAGTAGTTCGAAACTACCAGCTGTTACACCGAAGAAAGAGGAGGCTTTCTGCTCCCATAAAGATTTACAGCCTCGGAAACCATGTACAGGGTCGCTATGAGTCGGAACCGACTCCACGGCACATAACATCATATCATAAGACATGATGTGGCACTGCAGGATAACACGCTGAACCAAAAGGTCAGTTTGAGCCACAAGGTTGGCAGGTCAGCCCCACTTGCTCCTCTTCAGAAACCTATACAGGGTCATTGTAAGTTGGAACTGACTGGACGGCACTGAACAACAACAATCATATGCTGGTGATGCAATGGTTGAGGGTTCAGCTATTAACAGAAGGGCTGGTGGCTGGTACCCACCTAGTGCCTCTATATGGGAGAAAGAGCAGGTGATCTGCTCCCTAAAGATTACAACCTAAGAAACCCTGTGGGGCAGTTCTAGTCTGTCACATAGGGTTATTATGAGTCCAAATCAACAGGACGGCACCTGACAACAAAAACAACAACATATCATAATGTGACAATGCCTCTGAGTCCATTTGTAACATGGGTCTGACGTATGCATCTGTCAGTCTGTCCTAATGTGGCAGTTTAGGTATTGCTATAATGCTGGAATAGCTATGCTACCAGTCTTTCAAATAGCACCTGGGGTGGACAGGTTTCAAAAAGAGTTTCCAGACTAAGACATACTAGGAAAACAGATATGGTAATCATCTCATTGTTGTTAATTGCCTCAAATCAGTTGCAACCCTGTATAGGGTTCCAAGGAGCAACTGGTGGGTTTGAACTGCTGAGCTCATGGGTTGCAGTCCAATGCTTATCCTATAGCACCATACCAGAAGGCCTTCTGAAAATTGTTGTTGTTAAGTGCTGTCAAGTCAGTTCTGACTCATAGCAACCCTGTATAGGATTTCCAAGGCTTTAAATCTTTGGGGGAGCAGAAAACCTATCTCTGTCCCATGGAGTGGCTGGTGGGCTCGAACTGCTGGCCTTGTGCTTCACAGTACAATGCGTATCCTATGGAGCCATCTGTATCACAACAGAACATTGCTGGTACATCACCAGCAGGGATCGGTTGCTGGAGGAAGACATCATGTTTGGTAAAGGCCAGCGAGGGAAAAGGGGAGGCCCTCAGTGACATGGGCTGGCACAGCAGCCACAATGAGGGACTCAAACAGGACCAGGTGACATTTTGTTGTGCTGTACACAAGGTCACCAGAGGTAAGGGTAAACCTGGCGGCAGCTAACAAGCATGGGTACCACTGAGGAAGGAGTGATGCCTGTACCTCTTCGCTGCAATGGCCAAGTTCTCCAGTTCTGTGCTCTGCAGTCTGATCTCCCGGATGAAGTTCTTTATAATATGCTCGTAAGGCTGAATTAGTCTTGGCTCCACAAGGTTGATGTTTACATATAGAGTACTAACTTGTTCTTTTCTGGAAAAAAAATAAAATTAAAATTAACTTAGTCAAATCGATAACAAGATAAAAAGGTAAATATAAAGAACACTTTCAAGAAAAAGAAAGATAAGAACCGAGAAGGGAGAGAATAGTGCCATGTATTGTACTGTATGTCCCCAAAGTGTGTGCCAACTTGGCTAGGCCATGATTCCCAGTATTCTGTAGCTGTCTTCTGTTCTGTGATCTGATTTAATCCCCCTCCATTTTATGATATGTGGTAAATCCTAACCACTATATGTTAATGGGACTCCTGGTGTGGCACTGTAGGATAAGCACTGGACAGCGAACGACAAGGTCTGCAGTTCAAACCCATCAGCTGCTCCTCAGAAACCCTATACAGGGTTGTTATGAGTTGGGACTGACTCAATAGCACTTAGCAACAATGTATTTTAATGAGAAGGGAGTAGTATGAGGGGAGTCACACCCTTATGAAAGGGCGTAACTCAAAGTCATGGCCTGAATCAAGTCACCTATCACCTGTGGCACTGTAGGAGAATGCATTGGACCACAAGCTTGGTTTGAACCAAAAGGTCTCCAGTTCAAACTCAACAGGTGCTTTTCAGAAGCCCTATACAGGGTGGCTATGAGTCAGAACAGACTCAACAGCACTTAACAACAACAACATCCTCATACACTATCCAATACCTCTTATTAAAAAACAAAAATGTTCAAAGACATTTCAAAAGAAAAACTGCAAACACTTGGTAACTAAACTGATGGAGGATACTGGAGCAGATCAATGAAGGGCATGGTGTCCTTGATTCCCCATTTAGAAGAGAAGCTGATGTTCTAAGTGGAATCTAGAATGATCTATGAATAATATACCCTAGATTCCTAGCTAAAAAAAAGCCTGCATAGCTTGGCTGAGCTGCTACTTCTATGTGCAAACTTACTAAGCACTACCATACCCAAGGCTTCTCATGACTGATGGGCTGTTGTCCCTGTGAACACCTTACTCCACCAGAGACCATCCATTCCTTCCTGCTTTCTGTTGACTCCAGTAGAGAGTCAAGCTTTATAATAATTAGCCCAAGCTGTGGCTGTGTTACAAAAGTGTCGGGGTCTGACCTCGACATAGTTGTGTTGTTCACGAGTGTTTGGTTCACGAAGAGGGGAGATCCAGCGGCGATAGGGATAGCGAAAGAATACACAGACAAACAGAAGAAGGGAGACAATGAGGCACCCAAAAGCCAGGGTGGATACATCACTGGTGGGCAGGCTTGGGACTACAGGCATCATGGCCTCTGCAGGCAGCAACTCACTGCCCAGCAATCTTTACTGCATGCCTTCCAACCCGAAATGTACTACAATCGTTACTCCATGCCTTCCAACCAGTAATGCACACCTGGGGAGGCTCGGGCTTCTGCTTTATTCAGGGGAGGAGCTTCACACCAAGCGGGGAGGGATCTTTACAGAAGATTGTCATCTTTAAGATAAGTTAAGCCAGTAAACCTTACTTAAACCAATATTCCTTTCTTCCTTACTGGGTTTAACCTTCACTTGGATCAAACTGATTGAACCCAGGGTGGTCCGAGGGCGTTGTCCCCATTGTCCTTAATCCCATATTCCCAGAATTTACCGATCCACCCCAAGTGAATATACCCCGGGCAGTTCCTCTCCAGAGCCTCCCTGCTTAATCCCAGTAAACCTGTCCTTGTTCATCCTCTGAGGAAGTTTTACTGCCTTGGTTCTAGAGGGAAAATCTTGACCTTAGAAACTTAGGGGAATATTGCATTTCTCTGTGGACATCCAGGGCTCATGTTTGGAATTAAATAAATATGACTAAACAATTTGATGAAAAACAATTTGCTATTAACTGCCAAGTGGCTAGATCTGTTACACTCAGGCCTATAGGGCCTCGAACCTCTGCACAGTCTGCAACACAAAAGCAGCCTCACTTTCTGATAACAAAGAGCATTTATATCAGCTGAAGGAAGAAATACATTTCTTGGAAGGATCCATGGAGGCACAGTGGTTACGAGCTTGACTGCTAACTGAAAGGTCTGCAGTTTAAACCCACCAGCTGTTCCACAGGAGAAAATCTCAATAGATTTCAACAAAATTCTAAGGTAAGAAAGACACAAACTTTCTTGGGTCTTTTGTGGGTCCTAGCATTATAAACTATTTCAGGAATACTCTTCAGTGTAATGCACAACTAGATTAACTATAAAAATGCCTTCCTGGTCTTCTCCCGCTCCCTCCCATCCTCATAGCTGCAGTGAAGAACTCCACTAGGGCAAAGCTACATTATGAAATGTGTGTGGATCCCTGAAATACCACATGGAAGGAAACTACTTAGGAGAGTTCTCTGACCACAGACCGCTGTGGCATGAGGGAGAAACACACTAGTATTGTTTACAGCCACTGCATCTTGGAAGTTCTTTGCTACATTCAGCCTGTGCCTAGAAGGCTGACACTACAATTTCCTAGTTTGTTTTCTTGTCATTCTCTTCCAGTTTACAATAGCTCCTCATATCCTTACTTGATAGCTTCATATTGACTAAGTAGAAAGACTTCTGTGATCAGTAAAAATTTTACTCCCACCACTTACACTCTTCAGAAAGGAACAGAAGACTATTCTGAAGCATTAGCGTACCAAGGAGTCATTGGGTGATCTACTTGTAAAAAATCAGCCGTTGAAATTTCTATAGAACACAGTTCTATTCCAACACACATATCACATATGGAAATGGGAATCCACTCATGGAAAATACCTGGTACAGGTTAGCATACTATAAAGCACTGTTTATTAAGCACCCTATACGTGCAATCTAGGTACTGACTTGAACATTTACCTGTATTACCTCACTTAATCCCCACAACAACCCCATTTACTGAGGAAGAAACTAAGTTAAGAGGTAAAGAATATCCTGATAGTAGAACTAGGATTCCCAATTCTACTGAGAGGAACCAAAAGGAAGTGCTGAATTGCTTTCCAGGGAACCCAAGTACATGCCTCAATTTAAGAAAATGTGATGTACAAAAATTGTAAAGAGAGATATGTATTATTATTAAGTGTTGTCCCTGAATGTTTGATAATCAAACAAACTAATCAAAACATTGTATGGGTTCCAGTCTATCCAGAGGATTGAAAACGCTATGGAGAACAGTTCTATTCTGGCAAACATGGGGGTGTCATGAGTCAGAATTAACTTAATAGCAAATGGTTTCATTGTTGTTAAAAGGATTATCCACCTTGCGAAAAGGAGGCCTGGTAGTGTAGTGAGTTACGAGATGGGCTGCTAATCGCAGGTCAGCAGGTGGAATCTACCAGCTGCTCTGTGGGAAAAAGATGAGGCTGTCTGCAACCGTAAAGATTACAGCCTTGGAAATCCTATGCAGGTTTACTATGAGTTGGAACCAACTACACAGCACACACCATCGCATTGCAAAAAGACCCTTTAAAGAATGAAGCCAAGACGGAGATTAAAATAAAAGAAGCTTATAAAAAATTCTGGTTTACTTAAAGCTTTATGGAAGAATCCCAATTGCATATAGTAAAGCACACTCCAACCTTCCACCCCCTCCCAAATCTTTCAGTTTAATTCAATATGCATTTGTAAAATGGGAGAAGCAGCTGGATTATAAGGAGAAACTGCAACATGACATATTTGTCAATTTCCACATCTGGTGCACATCAGAGCAAGAGATACTATTTGGTTCCTATACTTACACAAGTTTTAAATATTGCATCTTGCAATTCTTTGATTCTTTGACTCAACAGACTTTGTGCTATTCCTTGGGGCCAAGACCTTTTTTGTTCCACTCCAGAAAGTAGAGACGTCACTGACCCCGCCTGGTGTCCTTGTTCCTGATGTCAAAAGGTTGAAAAAGCAGAGGCTAGCCAATAGCTGCCCACACAAGGATCTGTTTGCTTTTGAGTGGGAACCAGCTGTGCTGCATGTGAGTACTGAGAAGGCTGTCTACTGGAGACAGAGCTCAAAAGCACTATTGGTTCAGAAGTACCAGCATCTCATCAGAGTCATTACACTCAGGTTCAAACAGCATTTCTACCTGTTCACAGGTATAACTTGACAAATAGTAGGTAAAGGTTAAGGGCCAAGAACAACAACAACAAAAAAAGGACAGGACAACCTCTATTTGTACTTGGGTGATCAGTGAACACTTTAAAATATAATTCATGTCTGAAGAAAAGCATTCAAATGGCTCTTCCAGGCCCACTGTCATCCAGGCAATTAGTGATCCTGCCTAGGGTTTCCGAGGATGTAAATCTTTCTGGAACCTAAGTTGGTGGGCTCGAACCACTGACCTTGTGGTTAGCAGTCCAGTACTTACCCTACATCCAAACACACCCTGTCTTGGCACCCAGGTTGAGATTTTGAAAATCTGAGTTTATTTGCCATCTTGCCTGATACATTATCAGAGGATTTCTGTAATTACTGGTGAAAAATTCAGTTTAACATTTTTAGATGATCCCTGGAAATGAGCATTTTAAATGCAAATATTCTCTCTGAAGACTGGGACCCTCCTACATAGTTGATGGGACTGTAAAATGGTCCAACCACTCTGGAAAACAATATGGCGCTTCCTCAGAAGGTTGGAAATAGAAATACCTTATGATCCATCAATTCCTTTACTTGGTATTTACCCACAAGAAATATGAGCCATAACACGAGTAGATATATGCACACCAATAGCAGTTCATAGCAGCACTGTTTACAATAACAAAAAGATGGAGACAGCCTAAAGGCCCATCAATTGAAGAATGGATAAACAAACTGTGGTACATACACACAATGGACTACTATGCTACCTTGAAGAGCAACAAGGAAGCTGCAAGCCAGCGCATATCATGATGAACCTTGAGGACATTATGCTGAGTGAAATTAGTCAGTTACGAAAGGAGAAATACTGCATAGGGTCATTATTGTAATAGACTAAGAAAAAGAATCCACCCAAAAGGGGAAACAACAAAAAAAAAAACTATGTATATAAAATTGCTGATCACCAGGATG